GGATCCCGGATCTGCGCACCTTCCGCCGCGCTGTGAAGACCTTTTTATTCCATCAGGCGGGCTTGGCCTAATCTCTTCCCTTTTTTAAATATGTAAATTTTAATCTGTTTTTAAATTATTGGGGTGTTTTAATCTGTCTGGGCCAAAATGATTTAATTTGATTTTATCTGGTTTTTAAATTTTTTGTATCTATGTATTTTATCGTTTGGCTGTTCACCGCCCCGAGTCCTTCGGGAGTAGGGCGGTATACAAATCAAATAAACTAAACCATTCCATCAAGTTGAAAATTGCACTTAAAAGAGTTTAATTACTTCCCCCTTTTCCCTGTTCAAATATCAAATAGGGCTTCAGCAGAATTCTTTGCAGAGCTATCAGAAAATGTTTACGTTCTTAATTTAGGCAAGAAAAACCAAGTGCACAGGTATAGTATAGGTGGTACCTGGCTCAATAGTAGTAACTATGAAAGGGATTTTGGAGTCCTAATGAACAATCGCTTACATGTGAGCCAGCAGTGTGCTGCAGCTGCCAAAAAAGCCAATGCAGTCCCAGACTGCATTAACAGGGATAGAATCAAAATCACGTGAAGCCTTAATGCCACTTTATACCACCTTGGTTAAGACCACACTTGGAATACTTCATCCAGTTTTGGTCACCATACTATAAAAAAGATATGAGACTCTGGAAAGAGTACAGAAAAAAACAAGGATGATTAGGGAACTGGAGGCTAAAACATATGAAGAATGATTGCAACAAATAGGTATATCTAGTTTAATGAAAAGAAGGATTAGGGGTGACATGATAGCAGCTCTCCAATATCTAAGAGGCTGCTACAAAGAAGAGGGAGTCTGAAGGCAGGCAAAATGCAATGAATGGAAACTAATCAAGGAGAAAAGCAACCTAGAACAAAGGTAAAATTTCCTGACATAACAAATAATCAGCGGAACAACTTGCCTCCAGAAGTTGTGTATGCTCCAATCTTGGAAGTTTTTAAGAGATTGGACAACCATTTGTCTGAAATGGTGTAATCTTTCCTGCCTGGGTAGGCGGTTGGACTAGACAACCTCCAAAGTCCCTTCCAACTTATTTTGTAACATAAAGAAGCATTTAAATTAACCCTAAATTTTGGATTATATGAAACCTAAATCTGATAGGAAATTATTTTTAGACCTTGCCCTGGAGTGAATGTATCCGGCCTTTCACTAGGATGCAACTGCCCAATCAACCGACACAAAACGAAAAAGCTTAGTAAACAATCTTTTGTGGCTGTTGCCATTGTTCATATAATAAGCAACAGGAAAACCTCTGCATTAATTCACCGGCTGTGTTCATGCAATAGAATAATTATTTACAAGGTATAAAGCAAAGTTGTATTCCACGTCCTTTCATTTTAATTTTTGCATCAATACTATGGCAACAGGATTTTAATTAGAAAATCTCCATCCAAACATAACTGGTAGACTATTGTATTACTCCTACATTATGTAATATAAGTGGGCTTATTGTAAGTCTCCCTTGTTCAGCACCATCACAATTTTGAATGGTTGCTAAATGGGATAGCGATAGGGTTTATATACTGCTTCACAGTGGTTTACAGCCCTCTAAGTAGTTTAGAGTCAGCATATTGCCCCCAACAATCTAGGTCCTCATTTTACCAACCTCAGATGGATGGAATGAGGACTACTTGTAGGAATAATGTCAAATAAATTCAAGCCCTCAATATTTTGGAATTGTTTTTCTTGCCACTGGCTTATTATGGAGGCCCCAAATTCAATCACCAAGAGGTCAGAAATATATCTACCATCCGGTTGGTGGTTTGTTTGTTTTTTGCATAGAAGGTAATGATATACCTGGTGGACTAAAAATGTTCTGATTTCAAAATAATACAACCATTTTATGACTTCCAAATGTGTGCATATAATTTAAAATCATTTGAAGTTGTTCAGTCAAGCTTCTTAAGGAACTTGTTTTTGGTTTTTATTTTGTTTCTAACCCAGTCTTTTAGGCTGAGGCAGGAATAGTTTCAATTTAAATCTGTACCAAGTAACTCATTAGCTACTGGATCAAGCTAATCTTTAACAGAAGGTATCTGGCTCTCCCCCACCACCCCTTTTTTTTTAAAAAACAAAACAAAACAAAACTCTTCAAGACAAATTTCAGGCTTCCTTGCAGAAACTGTTTAGTGTTGTCCTAAAGAATTGTGGAGTTTCCCTCATGTATGGATTCCAAGGAGATTTGATCAGAGCAAAGCACTTTCAGGAGAGCCAATTATTGCCTGGAAAACAATATCATCCAGATGCCACCATTTATTATTCTACTCAATGCAGAAAAAAATAGTGCACTTAACCATTACTATCACCCCTAAAGAACATTGGAAGAGCTCTTACATTTATCTGTTGTAATGCCCTCCCACCATTTTGGAGGGAAAATTCTGTTGTGATACCTAAGCAATTATGTCCTTGTGATGAGGGGAAAATTGAAGCTTTGGGACTTGTAGTTATGCTATCATTTTAAAGAGCCCTCCAAGATAGATATTTTCCTCTTCATAAAGCAATACCCATGTAGGACAGAGACTGATTATTGTATCTGCTGCTAGCAGACCAGAACATGAGGGTTTCAGACAGTATTCCCCAGTTCAGAATCCAAGCTATGATTGAATGCAAATGACTCTTGCACTGAGGCAATACTGAACCTGAAGTTACCATATTCAGTATCTCTCATTTTTTTCTTTCTAAAAAAAGTAGTCTTCCTTTAGCAACAATTTGGACTGGCAATTCAGGAAACCGTTGCTAATTGAAACTGCTTTTAATCTTACTTTATCATTCCTTTGTTTCACAGGCCTGCTTATCATAATTGCAAATGGTCACTAAATAAGGCAGTCGTTAAATAAGAAATACCTGGATTATATTGCTTCCAGTTAGTTGGATTATAGTTGCAATAATCCTAGTCAAATCCTAGTTACAGCAGATATTGGGCCCTTACAAATCAGCCTACTTTTAAATTATTGTAATTAGTATGTTTATGTATTTTTAATCAATTGTCTATCTTAACTACTTAAGACATTTTTACTATAGATTTCAATTTTATTTTTTCTCTAGTATTTTATATTTTTTAACTATGCCAATATTTATCTCGATACTATATTGTACTTGTGTTTTTTTGAAAAATTTAGTAACTACAATATAAACTGTGTCAGTAATGACATCTGGTTCTATGGATAAACTATGCCTAAAATATGCCAATAAAGGAATGATGGAAATGGAACTAATTTTATCTGAAAGAGGAAATACAGAATGTGGAACTACAAATGACAGGCCAAGAGAATAATTTGGAAAAGGATGCTTTACTGGATGTACAAAATAGGTTATTAAAATCTCAAAATTTGTGTGATGGGATAAAGAAGAATTGAAGAGAAATAAAATCCTTTTTTGACAATATTTGACTGAATTAAAAATTGTTAGAATTAATATAAAACTGGTTTATTTGATCAAGATAAAAATATGGCAGATTGCTGACATCAAGATTGAGAAGTTGATATCTATTTAACCTTATAGAGGATGAAGTTATTAAATTTGTTTATACATATGATGAGGATTAAAGTCACTCCTTATATATCCTTTTTATTACATTCTCCTTTCATTCTAGAAAGAAAAAAGCTCTTTTTCTAAGTTTATGTTTGTATTGGTTTATACTACTGTAATTAAATTCTTAAAATTATATTTGAAAAATGTTTATATATACAGTACATAAGCTAATGCTTACAGATAAATTTCAAAGTTACTCTGAAAGCATGTTAATATTTAAATTTGATAATAATAAACAAAATTCAGAGCCACCTCAGGCTAATTTTACAACGAACTGCTTAAGCCAGGGGTGTTAAACTCAAGGCCCGTGGGCCAGATTCAGCCCATGGGGTGCTTAGATCTGGCCCACAGGATCACCCTGGAAACAGAGAAGGACCGGCTGCAATGCCTCTGTCAGCGAAAATGGAGTTCGGGAGGGCTGTACGTGGCCCTTGCAGGCTCTGTTTTTGCTGGCAGAGAGTTGCAGGAGGCCGTCACAGCCAAAAACTGAGCTTGAGATGGCTGCAAGTAGCCCTTGCAAACTCCATTTTCGCTGGCAGAGGGTTGCAGGAGGCCGTTGCAGCTGAAAACGGAGCTTGATAGCGTTTTCGCTGGCAGAGTGCTTGGGCCACCACAGGCACCCCCGACACAAGTGATGTCGAGCTGGCCATGCCCACCCTGGCCCCTCAAGATCAAACACAACCCTGATGTGGCCCTCAATGAAATCAAATTTGACACCCCTGGCTTAAGTAGATCAAACAAATTGCTCAACTTCTGCTTTATTATCATTGCAAGGTATTAAACCCACAAGGTTTACTTAACAAAACTACTCAATACTATTTACATGTTTGATACTGTATATTATTTATAATACAATTTACATGTTTGTGTGCTCACAAGTGCACACAAAGCAGCCTGCCAGTCTCCTATAATTATTATTATTTATTAAATTTGTATACCACCCTTCTCCTTTAGGACTCAGGGCGGTGAACAGCCAAAATAAAAACAATTATAGGAAACTGTAAGAGAACTCATCTTTTATCAGTATTAAATTTTCCAAATTAAGTTTTGGGCATGAAGGCAAACTGATCCCACAATTTTACAATATGAATATTGAGTAATTTGAGTTCACTTATGACATTATCAGTTTCAGTTTATTCTATTCCTGATGAAGCAAACTTCAGAATCTTGCAGTTGTGTGTTGTGTGTATTTAGAATCATAGTGTTGATACAGCCTCTTCTCTAGGCATCATATAAATAAGACTAAATATGCAATATATTTGAACTACCAATCTGTGAATTGCTGTGTTAATTAGATTTCCATTTCAGCCCCATGAATCGATCAATACATTTTTTAAAAATGGACATAAGCTCTTAAAATCTTCTCTATTCTTTCAGTTTTTTTAACCTCTCACTCTTATCAAATAAAACAAAGACACATTTATCTGATAGTAGGAGTTAAACTCTTTATTCCATTCAGAGGCATCTGGCAAGTGAAGCTGCATAGGGGGCACATTACAGAGAAGAAATGATCAATACTTTATTAAACACTGAAATCATTTAAAGTTTCACTTCCTAGCTATATGAAATACTTCATATTGCCGTATCTCAACTGAAACTAAAAGACATGATTTTACCACACTAAAGTCTACAAATTTAAAGAAAAACGACAATATTTACGTCAGCAGGTGTAAATGTAGCACTTATTTTGTAAAATAAAGCTATTAAGGAAAACAATCATATCAATCTTGCCAAAATTAATAATATTGGACACAGATTTTTAAAAATCATTATGTCCATCTTCTTACTTCAATAATTGTAAAAGTTCATTATAAGAAAAGAAAAATCTCCTAAAGTTTAGGTAAAGTATTGTTCCCCCTTCCAAGCCCCCAGAAACTTGTTTTTCTTTCTTTCTGCTAAACTACAACATATACTTGTATTTTTAAGCCAATTAGTAAAGAAAAATGCAGTAAAATAAAAGAAACTTTCCCCCCCCAAAAAGTTATCTAATCTGTATAACCATAATCTTTGGGCAAATGATCTATTCTATGTAGAAATGCCTCTATTTTCTTATCAATCTAAGAGGTAGATCAACAAAATGGTGAAACAAACTATTTTTTGCTAATTGTGCCCCTGCAAACAATGCAGCATAGCAGTCCCAATCTTCTCATGCACAGAAACATTACAAACAAAAGGGTCCGAGGTAATAGCATGGCTCGTGCACCCGGGGAGGCATGCACACGCACAGCAGTCTTTATGCACCATGTGTTGCCACATTGTTAAACTGAGGTAGACTGAAGTTTGTGTAGAAACTTGAATGCATATTACCACAATTACAATTCAAATTACATTCTGAAATTAAAGAAAAATTATAATTTTTCTGTGATCCCTGCTTTTTAGTACGTTTTTAGTTTGTGGTTGTTGCAGAATGTGCATAAATGCTGCTGTATCTTGTTTGTAAGCCAAGCTTGAGGTTGTATGAATTTATTTTTATTTTTAAAAAACCCTTCGAAGTGGCTTAGTGTGGCCTTTAATAGAGGATATGTAAACTTAGCCTTTCATTACCTTTAAATGGGATCATCAAACAATGTTGATCTCACCTCCCTTACCCAACACCCAATACAATAACTGAAAAGAGTACGAAGCAATTGCTGGAAAGCAGAGAACCCATGCCTCCAAACTGCTCTAACTGATCAAGCACATTACCAAACTCAAGATGAAGCTTGCTCTTTGAAACAGAACATACAAATGGGCTGCAAATGTTTTAGTATTAGTAGGCAGAGAGTGATGGTCAAAGGCACAAAGGGTTCATGCATTCAATCAAGTAATACAAGAAAAAAAAATGTCCAGTTCTAACAGACTTCCTAGCATTTACCCAGAAGTCCCAGCCTCTTGCCATCACTTCCTTGTTCTGTTCCCAATAACGTACCATCAATTTTTTTCATCCCATCTTAACAGAAAAATAATGGCATTGCTGCAATGAGTATATTGGCATTTGTTTAGGTTAATCTGAACATTCACTGATTCCCTACCCACCCCCCAAAAAAATGATTGTGTTAACATCCTCATATATAATCTGAAACTAATTTTTTTCCATCTCACTCCTGTCAGCCAACAGTTAGAAGTCACTCACAACATTTGTCCCATCTCAATAAATTCTGTAGCACTCCTAGATTGTTGGCTGATCAAATTTATCATTTTTTAAAAAAATAAAATGCTCAAAAACTATTAGCTTTATAAAGTATACAAAATACAAAAAAAAAAAAGCAAAAAAAAAAAAGGCAAAAAAGGAATAATTTCTTATTTGAGGTATTAAATGCCTGAGGTAGTTTAGTAAAATGCATATTCATCTTTTTATGCCTGGCCAACATCACTGAAACCTCTTAGTTTATACATGGCAGTATTGTGTATAAATGCAGCCAAAAGGGTTTTTAAAAAAAAAGCCACTTGGTTAACATTGGGAATAACACTTAACCTCTTTGTTAATGCCCTTGTCTAAACTCCAGTCCCATCCCCAAATCAAACCTTCCCGTTATCTTTGCTTCTTTTACAAGTGGAATAGAATAGCAATGCCTTTACTTGTTATACCAATGAACTCGAAAGAGAAAGCTTCATTAAATCAATGCCTAATATTGCTGGGGAATAGTAAGAACCATGAAAGAAAACTAGCAAGTTTATGTTAAACTGTGAGAATAGAACAAAAGGGAAGTGAAGGGGTCCTTAGTTTAAAGCTGGGTTTCAAAAAATAAAGAGAGCCTAAAGAATACATTCTCAGAGACAGTATGCCAACTGCGCCTGGTCCTCAAACAAACTGGCTTGGTGAAACTTTTGTATATCATTCCAACAGGTGCCCATAACCTGTCCATTACAGTTTAGTCTCTCTCTTTTTCTCTCTCTCTCTCTCTCTCTCTCTCTTTGGTTTGGCATCTGTCTCTGAAGGGTCTTTTACTAAACTTTTATTTTCGTCTCTGCTGAGGCTGTCCACTTGGTGCTGTTTTCTGTTGTTGTTGTTGTTGTCTTCTTACCTGAGCCAGTATTTCCTGAATTTTTCGTTGGGCAAGCTATGTGACAGAGAGGAATTGTCATTAGAGAATTTAATGCCTTTTTCCTCTAACTGCTATCCCATTTCTCAAATATGTTTGAAAATGTGTAACTTTTAAGTGCACAACTCACTGCACATCTGTGTTTGAAATACTTCATCAGGAATGACTACAATTATAGTTACAATTCTTTAACCCATTTTTGGAACAAGTTAAAAAAAAAGTAAATAAAAAAGAACAAAACTAAATTAAGAAATTCATATACCACCACATTGCCAAAGTGAGCTGTCCTAGACAAACCAGGGGAGAGTAAGAAAGATTTTTGTGATTTAAAATAACCCAAATAGTGAGCCATTGGCATTTACACACAAATCACTACTTAAAAAAACTTAAAATAAAGCCTCTTTTCTCAAAGGTACTTCAAAAAGAAATATAGAAGTTAGTATACAGGTAATCCTCAATTTACGACCATTTAGTTAACCACAATTTGAAGTTATCATGGCTTTGGAAAAAGTGATGATTCATTCTTATAACCATTGCACTATCTATCCCGTCATGTAATTGCAATTTGAGCATTTTAGATTGGAGTCATGTGGGGCCAGTGATGTAATGACTTAGTTAATGACTGTATCACTTAGTGATCAAAATTCTGGTCCCAATTGTGGTTGTAAGTCAAGAAGTACCTGTAACAGATAAGTTCAGTGGGAAATGCCATGTGCCTTTTGTGACTGCAATTATTAAACAATGAAAAAGTCAAAGTTTTCAGACAGAAACTTCCACCAACCTGGCATGCATAGAAATGACCAGTAATTTTCACAACCACCTGATCATTTTCATCTGGTGTCTGATCACGAGGAACAACAACTTCTGCACTTGTTAAATTCTGAAGCTCATTTACCTGTTTAAAAAATAAAATAAAATTACTGTATTGGTATTCAAATCTTATAACTGAAACCTACTGTTGTGGTACATCAGCAGCCTGCAGAGCTGGCAGTGGAGTCAGACAGCAATGAGGCTGAGGAAGAACATGGGCCAGTCCTGAAGGCTGGAGAAGGCCCAGATGAGGGCTCTGCGTCGGAGGCAGAGTTGGGGCCAGGTCCATTGGGGAGTGATGTGCGGACTTCGGAGCCTCTAGAGGCTGACAATAGAGAGGCAGAGGAACAGGAGGAGCCTGTTCCTAGTGCACGTATGAGAAGAGCTGCCAGAAGGACAACTCGGGAGTAGAGCCAAGAGATGTTTGGCCCCTCCCATAAGGCTTAAAAGACCAGCAACAACTCTTGGCCTCTTTGCCAGAAAACAATGTTGAGAGAATTGCTTCTTGTTTCACTGTATTCATTTCTTGTCAGCGTCTTCTGCTTCTGAACTTTTGCCTTTGGCTTTGCCTAATTATACCAAAGTCGGTGATAAACTGAGAAATAGTGTTTTGAAGAATTTGCTTTAATTTAGTTTGGACTACGCTGAGAATGAGTTAATTCTCAGCTGTTCTAATAAAGTCTGTTTTTAAACTGTTTGCATTTAATACTAACTACTTGGGCCTGAGTCACAACACCTACATGTGGGTGTATAGTCAAGAAAATAGATGTAAAAATGTGGAAGTAAAAAGATTTGCAAGAAAGGTGAGTAAATATAGACTCTGGATAGCATACAATAAAGTAAAAGAACCATAGAAACAAACCAGAATAATACCGTCACTGAAATTCCATAAATGATTCCCAGAAGAATGAAAACTCAAGTAAAAACAATTATATTGTTGTAACACTTTTATGAATTGTCAGGAAGGAACAAGCTTCTTAAATCCCACTACAGTATAGGATGTTCCAAAGTATAGGGATAACAACAGAGAAGGTCTGCCTAATCCTTGGGTGTCAAACTCGTGGCATCATGTTGCCGTCACATGACCTTCCGTAATTTTTCCCATTCGAGGAGCTGGGGTAGGCATGGCCTGTGCATGACACATCCAGCCCGTGGACCGCCAGTTTGACACCCCTGGCCTAGTCTATCTGAAGATCCCAAAGGTGACCTCAGGCTGTAAGGAGCTGGACAAGACAAAACAAAGCAACTGTCTAACTGATTCTCTTACTTCCCTTTAAATTCATTTTGGATGATGATGATGATGATGATGATGATGATGATGATGATGATGATGATGATGATGATTATATTTCTATACCGCCCTTCTCCCGAAGGACTCAGGGCGGTGTACAGCCAATTTAAAAACACAAGACACAACAATTAAAAATTAAAATAATTAAATAGATTTGGCCGATTTAAAACCCCAAAAATTTAAAATACCCCAATTTAAAATTATTATGTTGATAGCCCGGCCTGGCGGAACAACAGGGTCTTCAATGCGCAACGAAACACCCGGAGGTCAGAGATCTTACGTATTTCCGGGGGCAGTTCATTCCACAGGGCTGGGGCTCCCACAGAGAAGGCCCTCCCCCTGGGTGTCGCCAGCCGACATAACTTGGCTGATTGCACCCTGAGGAGACCCTCTCTGTGGGAGCGGACTGGTCGGTGGGAGGCTATTGGTGGCAGAAGACTGTCTCGAAGGTACCCGGGTCCTACGCCATGGAGCGCTTTAAAGGTAGTAACCAACACCTTGAATCGCACCCGGAAGACCACCGGGAGCCAGTGCAGCTCGTGCAGGAGGGGTGTCACGCGGGCGCAACGAGTTGCGCCCATAACCACACGTGCAGCCGCATTCTGGACCAGTTGGAGCCTCCGAGTGCTCTTCAAGGGAAGCCCCATGTAGAGAGCATTACAATAGTCCAGCCGGGAGGTGACAAGGGCATGAGTGACCGTGCGTAAGGCATCCCGGTCCAGAAAAGGCTGCAACTGGCGGATCAGGCGAACCTGATAAAAGGCCCCCCTGGCCACGCCGTCATATGCTCTTCTAAAGACAGCCGTGCGTCCAGGAGGACACCCAGATTGCGAGCCCTCTCTGTGGGGGGGCAAAGATTCACCCCCAATAGTCAGCGATGGCACCTGCTGACTATATCGGGACGCCAGCAGCCACAGCCACTCGGTCTTGGACGGGTTGAGTCTGAGCCTGTTCCTCCCCATCCAGACCCGCACGGCCTCCAGGCAGCGAGACATCACATCAAGGGCATCGTTGGGGTGGTCTGGGGTGGAGATGTACAGCTGAGTATCATCAGCATACAGATGACACTTCACCCCAAAACCACAGATGATCTCACCCAGCAGCTTCACATAAATGTTGAACAGAAGGGGCGAGAGGACTGACCCTTGTGGCACTCCCCATGCGAGATGCCTCGAGGTCGACCTCTGCCCCCCTGCCAACACGAACTGCGAGCGGTCGGAGAGGAAGGAGGAGAACCACCGCAGAACAGTGCCCCCTATTCCTAACCCTCTCAACCGCCTCAGCATGATACCATGGTCGATGGTATCAAAAGCCGCTGAGAGATCTAATAGGACTAGGACAGAGGAGCAACCCCTGTCCCGAGCCCTCCAGAGATCATCCACCAACACGACCAATGCCGTTTCTGTGCTGTGCACCTGCCTGAAGCCCGACTGGCACGGGTCTAGATAGATAGCTTCATCCAGGTGCCCGGGCAGTTGTCGTGCCACCACACTCTCAACAATCTTCGCCACAAAACAAAGGTTGGAGACCGGACAGTAGTTAGCTAGTTCAGCCGGGCCCAGGGAAGGCTTCTTGAGGAGGGGCCTCACCACCGCCTCTTTCAAGGCGGCGGGAAAGGCACCCTCACTCAGAGAAGCAGTTATAGTCCCCTGGAGCCAGCCTCGTGTAACCTCCCGGGAGGCCAGTACCAACCAGGAGGGACACGGGTCCAATAAACATGTGGCGGCAATAATCCTACCCAGAACCCTGTCCACATCCTCGGGAGCCACAGGATCAAACTCCTCCCAGATAATATTCTCAAGACCTGCCCCTGTCTCCTCCCCTGGACTCATCCAATCGGAGTCCAAGCCATCCCGAATCCAAGCGACTTTATCATGCAGAAATTGCACAAAATCCTCAGCGCGGTCCTGCAAGGGATCTTCCCGCACTCCCCCCCGAAGAAGGGAGTGGATCACCCTAAACAGGGCAGCTGGGCAGTTCTCCGCAGATGCGATAAGAGCGGAGAAATGGTTAGATTTCGCCGCTTTTATCGCCACTAGGTAGGGCTTGATATAAGACCTCACCTGTGTCTGGTCGGAATCGGATTGACTAGTCCTCCAAATGCTCTCTAGGCATCTTTTCCGACGCTTCATCTCTCTCAGCTCCTCGGAGAACCAAGGAGCCAATTGAGATCGGCATCGGGTCAGAGGCCGCAAAGGCACGACGCGGTCCAAAGCTCCGGCGGCCACACTCTCCCAGGCGGCCACCAGCTCTTCAGTCGAGTCGTGTGCCAGACCTGGCATTACACAACATCAGCCGCGGACCCTGGGCCTGAGACTCTGCACAACCCAGGACACGAGTCGCGCATTGGGGGCCGGGGTGTGTAATTGCTCGTAAACAGTGTGTGCGCATCCCCAGCACATGATATGGCCCCCTGCGCCCGTCGTACCTGCCCCTCCCACTCATTGTTTCAATTACACAGCCCTTCCTATCGTCCCCCTGCTCCCCGGTTAAATTTCCTTTCACGACCCCTCTGTTGCAGCCAATCGACCCATCACCCCGCTTAGTTGCTATCTGAACCCCCCCGGGTCCACTTTTACACCCCCCTCCCTTCCTCCCGGGTCCCCTTAAAATTTTGGTTAAAAATTTAGCTAAAAAACCCCTCAACCCCCTTCTCGCACCATGCCACCTCTCGGGGTTCCAAAGCCCGTCATTAAGGTAGGCCCTCGATAGAGTGAAGGGCCAAACCTGCGAGAGGGGGGAGTCTCGCAGTGCACATAGCTCCGCCGCCGAGTACATCAAGTAAGATCAGAATGGGAAAGCAGTTTGGTAGGGTCCACAGAGTCCTAGGACAGAAGGTCTTTATATAAGCAGCAACCCGGAATCCCCTGCTCTCTCACAGCAGCGGAAGGAGTTGGTTTATACAGTCAGCGGGAGAAAAATTTTTCCCAGCCACCCTCTCACAGTGGCCGGCCAGATGTCCAAAGGGAAGGAATTTGATGATATCATCCCTTCTGATAAAAGATGGTTCAAACAGCCAACTTCCCTCAGGGTCCACAAAATACTGTCCAAGTCCCCATCTGCCGGGAGTTTCGATGGAAATGATTCAATTAGATTTAATATGATTTGATTTGAAGCGGGGTACAAATAAAGCTGCCCAGTAGTTGCCCAGTAATTCCGTAGGAGGATAGATGTATACACAAGGGAGAGGAGAGGGGGAGGGGGGAGGGAGGCTTACTCCCAGGCCGATAACAGGGCCAGAAAGGGGGGGAGGAGAGGCCACCCATGGAGGCCCCATCCCAGAGCCATCCACCGGACTCTCCAACCCCAGATCTTTCCATCCCCTCTCATTTCAGCCATATCATGCCTCCGTTGGCGACCTCCACTTCGCCTCTCCGCCAGCATCAAACGTCCAACAACTTCCACCTCACCCTTTTTCGCAGCCATCTTTATCCAGCTAAACATCCCCTCCCAATCGCTGCGCAGCGGCTGCCATTGCCGCCGCAACTCCGCAACTCCGCCGCCAGTGCCAGAACGCCCTCAGTCCACCGTCGGCACCATTGGTCCTCCCACGTCGTCGCCGCTGTTCTGACAGCCGCCGATCAGCGAGCGGGGAAGAAGCCGGCATCGCTGCAGCCAATTTCCCTAATCCTCCTCACAGGGCGCCTCGCGGCGTCCTGCAGCCTCCCGCAGCGTTCTTCTTTGCCTTCCCCTCACCCAAGCATTCTGGAGGGCGAAAAAGCCTTCAACGGGTTGAGGGGAAACTCTCCCAGGCGGGGGTGGGGCTGCCGATGGTCCTAACAGCCCCAGGAGACCCCGAAACCCCAAAAATGCTGCCCGTCCTGACAGCGACTCAGGCCGGCATTGCCATGTTGGGGCCGCATTCCATATGAAGGAGGAGGACTGTAACTTATGAGGTCTTTCTCAACTGTGTATCCTTCAGCAGGTTGAGCTTTGACTAGTATTCCTGTAGTAGTCCTTTTCATAGCCATTCATTTCTTTATTATTTTGAAGTTGGGATTATTTCAACCTACTTTATCAGCTGCTGCAGTAGGGGATTACAGGCAGCCCCTTGATTCCAATGGCAATTGAGACCAAAATTTTAGTCATTAATTCCAAAATTTTGGTCAGTAATTATGCCAGTCTGTTATAAGCTGGTGGGAGGGGGGGAGAGCTGTGGGAAGAGTGTAAAACAGAAAGGGAGATGGGGAAACCGAAAGCAATCTTCATGAATAAGAAAGAAAGAAAGAAAGAAAGAAAGAAAGAAAGAAAGAAAGAAAGGTAAAAAAGGAGTAATTTCTTATTTGAGGTATTAAATGCCTGAGGTAGTTTAGTAAAATGAATATTCATCTTTTTATGCCTGGCCAACATCACTGAAACCTCTTAGTTTATACATGGCAGTATTGTGTATAAATGCAGCTGAAAGGGTTTTTTAAAAAAAAAAAGCCAGACAGAGACATCTCAAGGCCATGGACCTGGGAATGGAATCTAACACCTCTTCATCTATCCATCTGTTGCAGGGTTAGCAAAACATCTTTGAATGGACAAGGGGAAGATAAGGGGGGGGAGGGGGGATGAAAAAGGGAAAGTTAACTAGGGAATCTTCGCGTGCAAACTCTGGCTTTGCCTAATTTAACCACTTGGCTTTTAGTAAAAGTAATCTTACTAAATGGAGTTGAGAGTGTTTCTTTTCTAAAGGACCAAGCTGGGGCCATATCTGACAATTGTGGTCATGAAACATGATATTGCATATCTCTGTTTAGCAACAGCAATCCCTACAGTCTATGTTGCCATTGTTAAGTAAACACCTCCTTACAACTTCCTCCCAGCTTCCAACAACCAAAGTCAGTGGAAAAGCCATCAGGAAGTTGCAAGTCCGAGGTGGATTGCAAGCAGGTCAGCAGGAAAGAAAGTGGCTCCTGCTAGGTAAGAGAGAAGAGGCAACGGGTATGTGGATGTGGTTGGGAAGACATGATGAGAGTGCAGAAGAGCTTGTGCTAGCTGCTGCGGGGTGGGAGAGGTTTTGTGAGTGGGGCATCAGCACAGCGGGGCTTAGGATAGTGGCTGCTGGGTGACAGAGAAAGTAAGGGGATGGCCAGGAAGACATGGTGCAAGTGCAGCTGCAGCAGGGCTTGCAGTGACTGCTGCCCAGAAAGGGAGGGTGTTCAAGTGGCCAGGTGGAAATGTGACAAGGGAAGGATGTGCAGATGAGAGAGACTTGTCCAAGCAATTTATGACCTCCTCTGCTAGCTTCCCTCTTGATTCTGTTTGTGGAAAGCCAGCAGGGAAAATCGCAAATCAAAATCACGTGACGTGGGATAATGCAATTTTTGTTAAGTGTGAGACAATTGTCAAGTGCCCAGATCACAATCACATGGCTACAGGGTTACTGGGATACCTGGAACTTCCAGGACCAGTTGTAATCACTACTCATTCAGTGCTGTTGTAATTTCTAACAATTACTGGGCAATTGCAACAGTCTGTAGGTAAGCAGAATATTGCTATACCAATATTACAGGAACTGCATTACCTACCAGTTTGCTTCTGGCTACAATTCAAGTTGATTGCTATTATTTCTGAATGCCTATATGGCTTTAGTCCAGGCTGCTTATGGGACCACCTATTCTAAAGGCAATCAATACTTTCTATGCAATGCATTCATAGGTTGTCTTCCTCAAGAGTTCAAAAAGAGAGGTGGATGTGGGGTGTAGACCAAGAAACATTTTTTGAATTTCTTTTTCATATCCCAATAAAATATATTAACTGCTGAAATAATTATACAGGTAGTTCACAACTTACAACTATAACAGAGCCCAGAATTTATGTTCCTAAGTGAGAAATTTGTTAAGTGAGTTTTAACCCATTTTACAACTTTTCTTGCCACATTTGTTAAGTTGTTAAATTAATAACACAGTTGTTAAGAGAATCCTGATTCCCCCCCCCCTCCCTTGACTTTGTTTGTCAGAAGGCTGCAAAAGGGGATCACATGATCCTGGGACACTGCAACCGTCATAAATACAAATCAGTTGTCAACATCTGAATTTTGATATGATCATGGGAATGCTACAAGCGTCATTAAGTGTGAAAGTGGCCATAAGTCACTTTTTTAAGTGGCATAATTTTAAACAGTCATTAAATAAATTGTTGTAAGTTGAGGACTACCTATACTCCACACAATCCTATTTTTCCACAGAACCACAACAATCTGGCAGTTTAAGAGAACATTTGAACATTATGATTTGGGGTGTGGATTCTTTTTAATCTTCATATATGTTTCTGTAATTATTATCTCTTTTATTCATTAAACATGAAACTCCGTCAACTGAACATTTAAAAATGTATCACAAATAATATTGACTGGCACTTGGCTGATATGGGTTTATTATTATTATTATTATTATTATTATTATTATTATTATTATTATTATTATTAATAATAATAATAAGAAGAAGAAGAAGAAGTATTATAATATTCATGATATTTTTATGATGTTATTTTAATTGGAATTTGTTACCCAGAATCGATGAAGTTGGACAGGAGCTAGAAAATAAGTACACAAAGATGCAAGCAGGCTTGCCGGCTAACTTTAGGAGAGGAGAGTCTGTTCCTTGGCCTCAAATCAGATGTCTTTGTTTTATAAGATAATCTGGTAAAATATTTTTTCACATTCTAATACTTGCCGTTTTGCCACCTTTGCCAATAACTCTACCAGCAGCATGGGATGGCACTTTTATATGAGCTTCAAGTTTTACTTCTTCTTTAGGTCCAAAGAAATTTTCTTCCTTAAGTTTCCCATAGATTCTCCCCTGGGCCTTTAAGTAAAAAAATTAAATAAAATTAAGTCAATATTACCAAACACTAAATTCTAGAACATAACGTATAAAGATGAAAGACTGTGGGTTTTTTCACCATTTCATCCTTTTCATTTTCTAATATCAAAATAGCATAAAAACAACAGAAATAAATCCTAAGCCTTAAGAAATTTTAATTTTTTTTCCCTCATCAACTAGCTCAAGGATATTAGACTGTGATTTTCTAGAAGGATAATGGAACATTGAAGCTGATTTTCCAGAGATTAATCTGCAAGCAACCAGCGGCACAGTGATCAATAGAATATGCCTCTCAAGATTTTTTAAAATCACCTTTTTGGAAGATATAATCACTGATTTGAATGTTTCAACAAAACAATGCCTAGTAATAAATATTACTATAAGTTGGCTATAAATAAAGAAATATGGGAACATTTTGCTTCGTGCATAACATATCCAAAACTTTAATTAATTCCAAATCATTGGTTGCCTAAGGTAACTGTTTGAAATATAGAAAAATCCTTTGTATCTTACTATTGTGTTAAAGACTTTATATGGCCTTTCTTTAACAGTCAAATTGTGCAATTTTGGCACTGGTGTCATCTTTAAACAGAATTAAGCTCTCCACTTATCCTCAACATTTACACCTTTAAAAATCACAATGGCAATTTTAGTTTTCTGTGCAGTGTTTTTGTACTTATAAGCAATTTAATAGAGTCTGATTATCTAATTCACGAAGAATGTTGAAACTGCATTCAAAAATGTAGTACACATACCTAAAGAAGAAGCAGATCACACACAGAAATTATAGACCGATATCTTTGCTGAATGTGGATTACAAATTATTTACATCAATCATCACAGAAAGAATCAAGAAAATAATTAAAGATTATATACACCCGGACCAAAATGGCTTTATCCCCAAGAGACAGTTAAAAAATAACATGAGACTAATAATCGATGTATTAGAATATTATGAATTGAACATAGATAAACAAGCGGCCTTAATTTTTCTAGATGCCCAGAAGGCATTTGACAATCTTAATTGGAAATTTCTCACTCTACAATTGGAAGCCATGAAATTTGGGGATAAATTCATAAATATGATAAAAAGAATATACTCCTGCCAGACAGCGAAAATAACAATTAATGGTGATTTAACAGAACAATTCCCAATATTAAAAGGGGTGAGTCAGGGATGTCCCCTGTCCCCCCTATTATTTATATTAGTCCTGGAAACCCTCCTAAAAGAAATCAGAAAAGATAATGAAATAAAAGGCCTAAACATCAAATGCGAAGAGTACAAACTCCAAGCTTTTGCTGATGATATTGTATTCATTACAGAACAACCAATAACAACTGGCACCAAGTTACTAGACAAGATAGAGAAATAGGGGAGAGTAGCTGGGCTCAAAATTAATAAACAGAAAACAAAAATATTGACTAACCTTACCAATCAACAAGAAAAACAATTAGAAGAGAAATTAGGCATACAAACCAATACCTAGGGATATGGCTGACCAATAAAAGTTCATCAATTAGAGAAGATAATTATGATTAAATTAACAAATTAAGAAAGACTTAGAAATTTGGAAAAAGTTACAGCTATCTCTTTTGGGAAGGATCGCCTCCATTAAAATGAATGTGTTGCCTCGAATACTATTCTTGTTCCAAGTGATTCCAATAAAACCGGGGAAGAACTTCTTCAAGGACTTTAATAAACTAATTGCAGACTACATATGGCAAGGGAAGAAGGCAAGAATTAAACTAAAACACCTACAGGACTCAAGAAAGAGAGGAGGATTGGCACTGCCCGATTGGGAAATATATTACAAAGCATCAGCATTAATTTGGATCAAGGAGTGGATGGAACTCAAAAACCATAGACTATTGAATTTGGAAGGATTCGATCTTCAGCGAGGATGGCATGCCTTCTTATGGGAGGGCACAGACAAAAGGCATGAATATTTTCAGAAACATACAATCAGACATGCATTATACCAAACATGGCAGAGTATTAAAAAGGCACATTATTACAAAATCCCGGAGTGGTTGTCAACGATAGAAGCCCAGATCTATTCAAATGCCATGGACTATAATAAAACGAAAACTTATAAAGATCTGTTAAACAATCAGGGGGAACTAAGAACGAGGCAAGAACTAAAAGAGATGGGTACAGACATTGACTGGTGACCGTATATACAAATAAAATCAAGATACAATAAAGATTCGGCTCAATTCGAATTCCAAAAAGGTCAAACCGAATTAGATAAAATTTTGCAAGGGACACAGGACAAACTGATCAAAAAAATTTACAATTACTTACGAGGATATAAATTAGAAGAAGAGGTAGTGAAAGAAAATATGATAACCTGGGCAAAAAATTTCGGTTATAGTATTCAATTAGACAAATGGGAAAAACTATGGAAAATAAATTATAAATTGACAATGTCTGTACCCTATAAAGAAAATATCTATAAAATGTTTTATAGGTGGCACTTGCCACCAGCCAGATTGGCAAGAATGTTCCCCGGTATGCCATCAACATGTTGGAAATGCAACCACCACAAAGGCACCTATTACCATATGTGGTGGACCTGCCCAATGGCGAAACAATATTGGCAAAGGATCAAAATACAAATAGAGGAAATAACACACCAAAAGATAGAACTAAGACCAGAAAGCTTCTTACTAGGCATAGTGAATGGATACTACAAAAAAGAAACAACATATTTAATTATACATATGATAACAGCAGCACGAATACTATACGCGCAACACTGGAAGAGTAGTGATATACCAACACCAGATAAAGTAATCAATAAAATTATGGAATTATGGAATGTGCGGAATTAGATAGACTCATAAAGGAATTACAAAATAGGGAAGAACATGACTTTTACTTAGTATGGGAAAAGTGGTATAGTTGGTTGAAAGATAGGAAAGAAATGAAGCAATAGAAGTGCTTATGAGCCTTGACAGTACAGTGGTCTAAAGCACCCTGTTATTAACACAGCTGCTTGCAATTACTGCAGGTTCGAATCTTACCAGGCTCAAGGTTGACTCAGTCTTCCATCCTTTCTAAGGTAGGTTAAATGAGGACAATTGTGGGGGCAATAAGCTGACTGTATAAATATACAAAAGTATGAAGGCTATTGCTTAACACATTGTAAGCCGCCCTGAGTCTCCGGAGAAGGGCGGCATATAAATCAAATTAAAATAAATAAATAAATAAATAAAATGACCAAATATAATATGATGGAAACAAAGAACAGACATAGGTCAACAAAGATCAATAGTAGATAGACAAAAGGGAATGACCAAATAAGGAAGAGTCAAAATACAAAGAGAAATGTATATTACAGTTGCGACAAACTGGACATGTATTGAAATGGATGTTTATATGTTTTGTACTGAGGACTGCAAAAGAGGTGACATTTTATTTGCACATCTTTGCTCTACACACAAACAAAGAGCATTAGAAACTTTAAAATGTTACCTTGAATTGTGCCTCAGGAGGTCCAGTAATTATCACCATTCTCAGTTTGGCATCTGGTCCTTCAGGAGGCGCTATCTAGAACGTGATATATTTAAGAGATTATTAGACCCCTTTTCTGTTCCCTAGATTCTAATCAAATCAATCAATCAATCAATGTTTATTATGGTCACAGATCAGCACTACAAATAAAAGCATTAAAAACAATAGTAAAAACGACTTCTGGTTTGGCGCCGCGGCAATTTAGTCGGGGAAATAGCAGGGATCTGATGAGCCCGCGAAAACCCCGACTGTCGAACCACCGCTGACAGGTCTGCGGATTGAACCTGTCCTGTAGGGACAGGGGAAAGAGAGGGACACCTTGGACAGCCGAAAGGAGAAAAGAGCGAAGCGTTTGGAAACTGGGTGAGTGATACCAACCCAGGCGAGAGCAGCGCTTAAAACATGGATTTTTACAATTAAGTCTCTAGCCTTAAATGCCCCTATGGATCAGTGGGGCAAGAAGATTTAGTAAAATAACTTGCAGGAGGAAAAGACCCATTAAGGAACTTAGTTTATTACTGACCAATTTGGAATAATTGTTTATTGAAAAAAGTCAGAAAATTGAGAAACTTTTTAAAATTGGAATAGATTACCTTTGGAGAAAGAAAAAAAAAAGCGATAAATAGGAACTTGATAACTTTAAAAGCTATAAGAAAAGAGACAAGCGGATGACCATATAATTAACAAAATGGAGAATTGCTGTGACTAAGTGAAAGTGTGAATTGCAGATTACTTTTGGCTGAAAGAGAAACAATGTGTTCTACTACTTAAATTGGATTACTTTGAAAATAACCAAGAGTGTCTGACTTTGGGGATTCCCAATCTGTCTATTGGTGGTTTTATTGGTGGAAAGAAAGAAGAAATAAAACGGAACTATTAAAATTGAAACTAGCAGGCACAGGAACAAAAGAAAATGGCACACCAACAAAAGAAGAGAAGAAAATGGACTTTATATGGAATAGATGCTACAAAAGAACTAAAAAGTTTTTTTTTTATTTTTTTTATTTTTTAAAGAGCTTTAAATTTGACAACATTGAATTTAAAAGGGAATATTTATGGACAGATGAGGAAAGGAAGAAATAGAATATATTTGGTTGTGAGATAAGAACATAAAAGAGTTTGATTAAAAAGGGAAATGTAATATTTAAACATTTAAATGAAGCTTGAATATTGATAAGAGGTGTTTTTCTTCTTTTTCTTTTCTTTCTTTTAAACTTGGCAATATTAAATTTGAATTTGAAATGGAATATTTATGGTTAAAAGAAAAAAAGAAAAGTATATGTATGTATAAATATGTGTGTATGTGTGTGTGTGTGTGTGTGTGTGTGTGTGTGTGTGTGTGTGTGTAAATTTGGTGGTGAAATAAGAATATAAAATAATCTGATTAAATGAAAATGTAATGTTTAAATGCTTAAATGAATTTGGAATATCAACAGGAGGTGCTTATGGATTAATAAATATAGAAAACTGATCGTAAGGTGGATAAAAATGATGTTTTTATAGAAAGATATGTATATGGGATAAATTCAAAAAAAATTATAGCCCAGGAGAGAATATGTGGAGAATATATATGATGTAACACATTTCTATTCTAAACTGGTAGGAGTCCTGGAGGAGAATATGCTGAAAAGTAGCCTATGCAATATGCCATGAAATAGCCAGAATATGCTGTAAATCAGCGAGGAATGGAGGCAACTATGCTGGAAGACAGCCAAAATAAAAATGCTGTAAATCAGCCAAACAATAGATTTAGGAGTGGAGGAGAATATGTTGGTAATCAGCGGGAGGAATGGAGGAGATTAAGCTGGAAAACAGCTAAAATAAAAATGCTGTTGTGAGAAAAATAGGAATTATTCCTGTAAAAGCATAACCTGAGTTACGCCATTTTGAAATCATGTTAAGGTTTTGTTTTACCTTGTATAACCTGATTATATAATTTAGCTGACATTTAAGAACATGAGAAAGGAAATGTGTAATTCCTGTTTTTGAGAAGATGTTTGTTTTGCAGGAAATACGTTCCTGGGTTAACTTGCCCTTATTAATTAAAGGAAGTATGCAATTGATGTTTTTGAGGGGTATTTCTGTTGGGAATTGGGGAATTTCCAGGGTGGAATTATGTACTGCATATGTTATATAAGATGTTATGTAAGATCTGGAACTGATTCCCAAGGTACTTTATTGACGTGTATTCTGAATGTCCTGAAGACTATAAAAACTTGTGTAAATTGTTTTATTTCCGTCTTTCTCTACTTTAGAGAGAAAGTCCCTTTGCAAAGAATAAACTCTGTTACAGGATTATTTTGGTCTTTGTCTCTTTAAAACGATAATGGGATTTACCTGTCTACCACAGCTGTTAATCAGCCAAACAATAGATTTACGAGTGGAGGAGAATATGCTGGTAATCAGCGGGAGGAATGGAGGAGATTATGCTGGAAAACAGCCAAAATAAAAATGCTGTTAATCAGCCAAACAATAGATTTACGAGTGGAGGAGAATATGCTGGTAATCAGTGGGAGAAATGGAGATAATCCTGGAAAACAGCTAAAATAAAAATGCTGCAAATCAGCCAAACAATAGACTCAGGAGTGGAGGAGAATATGCTCGAAACCAGCTAAAATAAAAGTATACTGGGAACCAGACAAAATAAATGGAGTCGTGGAGGAGAATAGGATGGAAAATAGCCTAAAGATAAAAATGTTGGAAATTAATTGGGGTGAAAAAGAAGACGATGAATGATAATTAAATGATGTGAATTGATTTTGAAATGATTTTATGTAAAATGAGAAGCGTAATTGGTGATAAACCTAAGAAAATTAGATGTATATCAATAGAAGTTAAGATAGAGATTTGATGAAATGGGTTTTGAGATTAAGGAATATATACGAAATTTTGATTTGTAAAATGATAGAAAAATTAGAATTGTGTTTATTTGGAAACTAAAGATAGTATATAAAAATGAGCTGTGTCTATTTGGGAATTAAGATTTATGGTGATACAATAGAATGATAAATGTTTAGATTAAGATACTAGAATTTGTGATAAAAAATTTGTGGTTTGACTTTTATTTTAAAGATGTAAATGAAACTTGGAATCAAATTTGTTAAAGAAGTGCGAGCAACTATACCTACCTATGACCGGACCAAACCTTTGCTCTCAAAAGATGTATTTTATGTTTAAGAGTTTTTTGTTGGAAAAATAAAAAAAATTGTTTTTTTAAAAAAATAATAGTAAAAACAAAAATAAAAGACAGACATCTGTATTGATTTTACAATTGTAGTTGTATGTAAGAGAGATCAGAATTTCCCAGATATTTTATTATGTGAGGTGTTATAAATTGAGTCCATGAGTCCTTATAGAAGATGCAATATATCAGGACGTGAGCTATAGTTTCAATGGCCCTTTGTCCACGGGAGCACAGTCTCAGCTAATATGCTATTTTTTTCAGGCATTCAAAACTATTGTGGGAAGTGCACAGTAGCATGCTAAAGTTAATGACCTTCAGATTTTTGGGATGGTTATTTGATTATCTTGTTGCTTTAAAGGGCAATGAAATCACTTTTTCAAAAACCACTTATTTAAATTCTAAAAACATTGTAGTTAAAAATCTTTTCACGAGGGTGGGCATCCAGGTAAGATTCAATGCCAGACTAGATGTTTCCAATCAAGCAGAGATGTTGTTGTAGCAGCGAACAGCAGCCAGCAATGATTTATGGGTGGTAGTCTTTCCAGATAAAGAAAAATTGTCCACCTGCCCCCTGCAGTGCTGCTTCTCATGAGGAGATGGAAGGAGAGTAGAGTGGCAGAAGTTCAAGGAAGAAACAGTGTGCTTCTATACACAAGCCACAGCCTTTTAAGGGATAACAAAACCTCAAACCTTCAGTTTTGAATACAATCAATTGAAGCCTTTGAAAACAGTGGGACAAAGAAAACAACTCTCAGTAACTCTAAGAACTTTCTTTCTGAATTACAGAAACCAAAAATGAAATAATACTTTGAAAAGAGTTTAATACAACAGCAAAGAGCTTAACAAGATTTTGAGTGAGAAAGTTATAAAAAGATAAACAGGACTGCACAAATTTGAAAGATTGATGTTTTGGAAAAAGTACTTTTGGTGCTATTTGGAATTAAACAAACAAACCTTCATGGGAATGTTGATTCTTCAACACATTAAAGGAAAAAGACAATAGGCAGAATTTATAAAACAAGGCAATATGTAAAACATGAGATCAACTGTTATCATTAAATCTATGGAAAGACAGAATGGACTAAAGACTTACGGGTATAGGAAAGATGAAAGCAGGAAAAAAGGAGACGCTTGCCTTTTACTTTTATCTTTATAATCGATTTACTTTTACATTATAAATATAGTATTTATAGTATAAATAAAATAATAGCAACCATCAGAAAAGCTGCAAGACTTGATGAGGCATTGACAGAAAAGGAATTACTGCAGAAATATTACAAAAGATGTTTGAAGAGATAAGGAAGCAGGTATCTGAGTCTGTGACATGTATTAAAAATGAACTGGCTGCTTTTGTAGATAGAACAGAAGAAATGTATATAAAGATGAAAAAAATATGAAAATAGAAGTTATAAAAATATGAAAGAATACATAGGAGATATTAAATTGATGAAAGTAAAATAGAAATCATAAACAGAGGTTCAGAAAAGAATCTTGTTTCAGGCTTAAGAGCAGTTCCAGAAGATCCTGGAAAAGACACCAGAGAAAAGATTGTTTGATCTTAACAAGCTATTTGGGATGGGATAAGGAGGCAAAAATGACCAAAGGTCTATATAGAATCAATACCTGATTTTCAAAATTAAGAAACGTACCAAGGGGTATTGTGTACTTTGTCAGAAAGAAGACTAATCTAAGTTTTGCAAACTCCAGATTAATAATGCAGAAATCCTGATCAGAATACTGAACAAACAAAAATAATATTTTTATACTAACAAGCTCAAATAGGAAAATATACTATTTTGATAGGCTTGGAAGGAGTGACCTCCACATTTTATCATGCCTATTATGACTTGCAAAAAAGCCAGAAAATTTTAGGTTAAAACAGATATTGCGATACAAAGAATTTTAAAGAGGAATATTCAACTGAAGTCAGAACTCCTCTTCCTGAAACTAACAGTTAGAAAAGATTTATGGAAGATTGTTTTTTTTTAATATGATCTGCTGCAAGATTATATTCACAAAAATTGAAAGTCTCTGAAATAACAGAAGAATGGCTGGTGAGGATGACAGAATTAACAGAAATGTCAAAACTTGACTTGTTTGATTAGAGCAGGGATCAGCAACCTTAAACACTCAAAGAGCCATTTGGACCCATTTCCCAGAAAAAAGAAAACACCAGGAGCCACAAAACCTGGGTGGGCGTCGCCTACTTGACGTCACTCACTCCCACCCAGTCACATGACCTCCCCCAGTCACGCCTACCCAGCCAGTCATTGGGGCAGAGAACCGGTTGTTAAATTATTTACCCCACTTGGTCCCGCCTCTGTCTGTCTGTGTCTCAGTGTCTCTCTGTCTGTCTCTCCTTTCCACTATTTGAGCCCCTCTGAAGAAATTAAGATTTTTAGTACAATGAAAGTTTAGCTCTCAGGTAGTTCAAAGACTTTTACCTGTTATATCAAAGGAAAGAAAAGTGTGCTAGAAGAGCAAATGGGGGTGGGGAAGAGAAACCAGGACATGGAATGCTTGATGGCTACAGAGATGAGACTAGCTCCTGGGGCATCTTCTGCAGGATCCCCTTCAACCCTGGGAGTGCCTTGGGATACCTCGCTGAATTAAGAGGACAGCAGAGAAATACATTTATCTGAAATTTAAATCATAGGGTATATAACAAGAAACTGTGTCAGGGAGAATGCACACACCTGTTACGACTATCACCACTTAGTTTCAATATGAGGAATTTCAATCATTCTTTCACAACTTGACTTCTCCCTGGTGGCATTGGATTTCTTTAACAGCACAACTCAGGAATGATGGGAATGTAATGCAGTAGCCTCTGGAGGGCCATCACATTCTTATTTCTTCCTTTCTTCCCCGCCCACTCCTGATTTTCACCTTCCTTTCTTCTCCACTCCTGATTTCACTCCAGCAGATCCTCTCTGAATAGCCTCCTGTCCAAATTTTGAGTGATTTCCTCTCCGATCCTCCAACAAACAGACCCCACCCCACTTTTTGGACTCTGGACCACCGGGCCTTTATTTTCCCCATTTATTGGGGAAAATTGGATTTTTATTGAGTCTTTCCCCTGTCCCACACCTAAAGGAAAGCCAGCTGGGCTTCTCCTCCTAGAAGCCCTCCTACCCTTCCCCCTACTCTCTTCCCTCTACCCTCCACTCAATCCCACTTCAGGACAAAGGAGTGCATGCTGGAAACACATGTTGGGGCAAAATTGGAGTGCACCTTCTGACCCTCCAGCGTTTGGCCCGCAACTCTCTGCACTCCTCCAGGCCCGGTTTGCTGATGAGGGGTGGGAACAGCCCTGACGCCTCCGCTGCCCCCTCCAGGCCCCAGCCATCGGTGCCCAGCTTCCAGAAAAATGTGGCATGTTTCAAAGTAGCTCGCGTCTGGAGGTGCCAAACAGTGTCCCGCTCCTAGAGACAGGCCAGGCCTCTACATCGTCTGACTCACCAATGGCCAGCCCCCCCCACCACCACTAAGCTTTTGTGCTCGGCACTTGGCAGAGGGAGGGGAGTGCTTCTTTCTCTTGGCCCCGCCAACAAGGGAAGAGGAAGGCCAGGATTGGGCGATGGCCCCCACCCCACAAGATCTGCCCCCGCTGTTCTCTCCCAACCCTCTTTGCTATCAGCAACAGAAAATGTACCACAAAGAACACGGAATCCTGTTGCCATGCAAAGGCAAGTACAGGGGCTCTTCCCCCACTAAGGCTCTGCCCATCGCCGCCACCACGACAGGGTGACAGTTCTTTCATCCCTCTGCCGTGACAGGGAACTGCAGCAGAGGGATGAAAGAACCACATGCGGCTCTGGAGCTGCGGGTTGCCAACACCCGGATTAGAGAAAGGTCAAATGCCTTACAAACTGTTTTGCTGGACAAAGAAAAAAAAATTATAAGTTTAGTTAGGAAGGACTGATTATGGGTAGAAGGAAATTATGTTGTACTGTTAGAGAAGAGGGATAAAATATAAATCTACTTACAACTGTTGTTAAGAAGACCAGAAACTATTTCTTTTCTTTCTCTTTTATATTTCTTTCTTTGTACTTTTTCACATACTTCCTCTTTACTTTTCTTACTTTTGTTTTTCAAAATCTGCATTGTTTTTATTCATAAAATTTATTTAATAAAAAATATTTTTAAAATCTGTTTACGGATTTTTACAGTACAGCTGTTAGTAACAGTCTTTCTAAGGTGATTCCTTCATCCTGCTATCAGACACCTACCATTCTGGTAACTAGAAATTACTGGAATTATTTGATTATGAATTATTTAATTAGTGGATAGTGAAGAAAAACAGTAATATTACAGTAACTTCTATCTCCTGAAAACTTTGTTATGCTGCTGTTGTAGCAGCTTTTCTTTATTCAGCAAAGAGCAGACATGCCTGAACTTGAACTCTGTGAAATGAACTGAAGTCTAGGCAAGTGGACTTCTCAAATAGTAAACCATTTGCTTCTCTTGTTTTGAATTAAACATTAAAGTTGTGTGGGAACAATTAAGCTGCACTTCAAAAACATGGCCTAAAGGTTTCATGCTAAGAACAATTATCTAAAAGTCTCGACCACCAAGAGGATTTGGGTTTTTCTTTTTACAACTTCTATTTTACCTCTCAAATAACTTTTAAAAATATTCTTGTAATTATCTTGTCTCTGAATGCGCCAGGAATACCCATTCTCAAAACAGGAAGTACCAGTTATTGCTTGATATGCAAGGCATGGAGTCTAAGGTAGCTACACAAAAGGGCCTGTAAAAACTTGCTCTTAAAAGTCAAGGAGACTGTGGTATAAATAACTTATGTTACCTTAATAGATGCACCTGCAAAACGAGAAAGTTGCTTGATGTGCTGTCCTTGCTTGCCAATAATGGCTCCCACTGCTAAGGCTGGTATGAACAGATGAACTGTCTCAGATTCTGGTTGTTGCTAGAATGCAAAAGCAAAGAAAACACAAGCGGGTTATGAACAATCACAAGGCTAAATTATTCTTAAGCCAAGATTATATCTACAAATTACATTAAAAATGTAATTAAACATACAATTTAAATCAAAGACATAACGGAGAAAGATAATTACATAGATAAACACACAAATCATTAACTTCAAAAAAGCAGTGGTTTAAAATGAAGGGTAGGCAGTAAATTCAGAATATATGCAGTAAAAATATTTAAAATAGCTGCAGCTTTTTCAATAGAGAATTTTATCAGTTTTTGCTAATGTCTTTCACATATTTCATATTTTTTAAATATAATTTTTTATAAAGGACATAACAATTGTAATTGATTAATATCTTTATATGGCTATCCATCTCACAAGACATCATTCTGGGCAGAAACAGTTTTTTAAAAAAGGCATAAAAACAGTAAACATGCCAAACAGAATCATATTAAAACACATAAATACATACATTCACACACATACACATAATTAGATCAGCAATAGAGCCACATTAAACTCTTTTTCAATTATATGTGATTTATAAAAATACTTTTTAAAGGAATTAAATGGCGCTAAGAATTTCAATGATATAGATGGCAAATTCTATATTGAACTTTAAGATTTTCAAGAGATCTTGCTGCATGTAATATTATTGTTTACATAATGCTAGGACACTCCTTTGATTTTTAAGAAAGCCTATATACACCATTTTTCAAATATTATTAATGGATATAAGAAAACCTAAAGAAAATCTGAATTTGGTTTATTTAAAACCAACTGTAACCATTCTTTTTGCAGCAAATATATTTAGGTATAAGGCAGCGGTGAAATCCAGCCGGATCTATCCAGCTCGCGCAAACCAGTAACACCGGCACCGGGACGTCATTACTTCCCGTTGTTGACTCTCTGCGCATGCACAGAAGGCTCTGCACATGTGCAGAAGGGGCACATGCATGCATAGTGTGTGCATGTTCCCATTCACGAACCGCTGGCGAAGGTAAGTGGATTTCACCGCTGGTATAAGGGTTTTATTTTATAATCAAGTCTGATTTTATTTTTATTATAAAATTTAATTAAGATCATTTTTTGTATACTTAAATACTAGTTTTATCATTTTACAAGTTTTTCAAATGGATGAACTTGTTCATCTGTATTAAAGTTAACAGCTGTAAATGTTCTAACACTATTAAGATTAAATACGTGGGATTTAATTATTATCTTTTTAATAGGCATGTCGCATTTCTTTGTGTCATAGAGGAACAAATAGTCAATCTTTACAATCAACAAAACTGTTTTAGAAAAACTATTGAAAAACTAACAATAGAAGTAACTCCTTAAAAATACCTCATTGAAACACAATTGATATGAACACATGGAAATGAAAAGTGTCACATATACACTTTTTGTTTCTTAACAAAATCTATGTAGATGCTAACAATACTTAATACAGTTTAATCTTTGCATTAAAAAAATCCTTAGTTTAGTACCTGGCCTCTGTAATTGTAGGAGGGAAAATGGCAGAACTAGGAGAAGGAATAAAAAGTTTTGAGTTATTATGTAGCTACAAAGTCCAACTTCCCTTGATAGTGATTGACTCTTATCTAATGCTAACCACTATTGACTGTTGGTTGAGAAGATTCCTATGCATAGATTTAAGCAATAAATCACACTTGGGCTTGATTTTTCGTGCCTGACATTAGGGCAATCAGAAATCGAGAAAACTGCCAATAGTTATTTTAAGTAATGGCTGCCCTGATTAAAAAATTCTGGAAACTAAAGTTCATGAATCTTGAATCAGATTCGGGAAGACTAGAGAGGACAACATGAACTAGATAACTCATCTTCTTCAGCATAAGACAGCTTCTTGTATTTTCTTTAACCCAAATTATGTTTATTGGAAATCTATCCCTCAAGGGAAATGAGAGCACAATATAATCCCAAACAAAAATACCTTCTATAACAGGAGGAGACTTCCGGTTGATGTCGCGGCAAGTCTCAATGTTTTTTTATAACATTGTGACCAAAACTGCAGTATTCTAAGTGTGGTCTTACTAAGACATTATAAAGCGGTATTAATACTTCGCATGATCTTGATTCTATCCCTCTGCTAATGCATCCTAGGACTCACTGGCTTTTTTGACTGCCGCCGCAAACTGGTGGCTCATATTTAAATGATTGTTCTTTAACAAGATGTATATGAATAAGAATTATGCATTCATAAAACCAAGTTTTCTCCATTTATTTCTGGTTCTCAGGAATATAGCTGGTCATACTTTCTTTTGATATATATACTCTTCTCTAAATATTCTGTGAATTGGCGTTTTCTTCACATGCTGTGCTATTCTAATTCAAGATTTTAATATTACAAAAAGTCATAATAGTTATTTCCATTGAATTGGAAAACCAACATATCTGTCATGCAATATATAAATTAGGAACAGTTATAACCTACTGTCCAAAATGTACAAAGAGATAGAATTACCCCAAATGGAGGATATGAAGAGGAAGCAGTGGCTGGAGCAACACCCACTGTGGGAGGTGGTATCCCTGAAGAAGGTGGGAATAAACCCAAGGCATTCAGATTTAGCCCTGGAATTAAATGTGCTTGAAGCTGGAATAATATGGAAGATAATTAGTTCAGTAACATAATTAAAAATAATTACTATCTTAAAGGATTCTTTCTTGCTTAGCAGTCAAAATGTAAGTAATTTAAATGGAGTAAAATTTCATGTAGCTAATTAATTTAAAAATTAATATCATAATCTTGTATCAATTTATCTAACAATATATATACTACTATTCTGTCAGAAGCAACTATTGATTGATTCTATGAAATAATGTAACATATTAATAGCAATATCACTTAGACTTATATACTGCTTTACAGTACTTTACAGCCCTCCCTAAGCGATTTACAGAATCAGCATATTGCCACTAACAATTTGGGTCTTCATTTTACCCACTTTGGAAGGATGGAAAGGCTACCTTTAAATCTGCATGTTCTACAAATCTAGCCTTCACAGATAATTAAATACACAAAGATTATTACATTCAGTAAGGAGAAATAAGAACTGTCCTCCTTAAAAGAATGGAAATTATCATGAAATCACTTGGGCTGCAATTTTCTGCTTATTATTTCTTTCAATATAATGGCTTACAGCACTTTTCAATGACAGTGACCAAGAGAGAATGAATGCACTTGCAATTGGAGTGCCTAACAAACTACTCTGGACCATTAATAAAGCATCATATGCATTAATGTGACCCATTCAAACAGCTATGTCTTTTTTTCTGATTCAGATATTGGCCTGAAGAAAGACATGCCTTTAAAGAAAGGCTGCACTCATATGCACACAAGTTTAAATAACCTCTTTCAAATTATTTTCAGACTAAGTCTACCTTAATAATATAATCAGGAATATATAAAATTATAGTTTTGACAGAAGTTGGCAGGCAAAGCTTTTCTAAGATGATCAGTTGGACACTCCAACTGTGAATAGAAATACTGGGTGGTGCCTATTTGGATTTCTTTAATATATATGCCTTTTATTAGATTTTTCCAGTAGAAAGGACAAAATATAACCTTTTTTCCCCCTGAAACTGATTTAGCTCTACTATAATACTTTGGACAAATACTTAAAAAAAATTAGCACTCATAAGAAATGCACTTACATTCATAGCAGCAATATCATTTTCATATGACTCTCTGATTTTCTTCATTATTTCCTCCTCAGCCTTGGCACATGTATCAATACTGCCTTTAACTGTAATGGTTCGTTCTGGATTATATAGTGTCAAGTCCTGCAATCTTCATAGCAAAAAGAAGTGAACTGATATGCATGTAATAGCTAATATACGAAGCTGAAACTGAAAATAATTATTCTTCAAATAAACTTAAGTATTTATAATTCTTCAGATAAACAGTAGACAAAGCTTTAGAATATACAAATCCTAGATGTATCATTAGTAACTCAGGTTCAATAATGCCTAACTATCAGCCAATCCATTTTCATAAGTAATATAGTCAACTAGATTGCCAGTCATTTAACAAAATATGGTTCGTTAGTGGAATCATGTAGAGATATGGATTGGTTGAGAAGACAAGCATACAGTATGCAAGAAGCCACTAGGATGTAGCCTCCCTTTTAACGTCTTCTACCTTCAGAAGATAATGTTCAACAATTAAATTTCTATTTCTACTCTTCTAAATCTGATTATTTCAATGTAAATATTGTATTCATGTATATTAAAAACCTCATATTTAACTTGTCACCACATTGTTCAGGTTTTTAATATTTTAAAGCTATATGTACTATTACAGCTGTTTCAGGGACAAAGGGCTTCATTGTTCAATTCATATTATTGATGTAAGCAATTTATTGCAAATTTGAACAAATCCAGAAATGTACACAATTTAAAAAATAATCAAAACATGAGTCTCCTGACAATAAAATGCACTAGGATAAAATTACTTTTTCTCCTATACAAATATATGGATCCTAATCATGTTCCATCTAACATGCAAACACAGACAGACATACACATAAAACAATTATTAAAACAGACTGGACACAAAATGTCTCTTAACTTAACAACATACTGGCCAATTCAAATGATGCTACCTGTTACAACTTTTCTATTTTAAAAAAACCCTCCCTCATAAAAGTGAGGATCAACAGTTCTCTGTGCTACTGACTTACAAGAGTGGAGAAAACTTGTGACTCCCCTGGCTTTCCAGATGCAGACCTTTAAAATGTATAGTTTAAATCATTTCAGCATCCCTGTGGAGTTTACCACCGAATACTGGACTTACTGCAGAATGTGTCATGGAGAGTTCCTCCTCCCATGTACTTGGAAGCAAAGCTGATCTTACTAGATTTCCTGCCTCAGGAGGTGGGAGGGAGTTCCCACCCAGTTTGAGAGCTGTAGTCCATTGGGTGCCATAAAAAAAATTAAGAAAACTGCACTGAAGTGTTTTCTTTTATCATCCGACAACTCCAACAAAGAAACATAAGAGGAACAATGCAGAGAAATGGAGAACAAAACAAAAGATTTTGGGTGGGTGGGTTCTATGGGGCATAGGGAGATGTGATAAAGAAAGATGATCTCTTAATAATTTGCAGGAGCCCCCAAAACTGAGATCGGTGAAAATAGGTTGATCTCCTTTCTTTCTAAAATGTTGGCAAACACTGCCCCTTAACTCACGTATCATCAGTATCTACTGCTAGAACTTGCTACGGAATTATGCACAACTATGTAAAAACTATTTGAGAAACATCTGAACACAGTATGTGTATGTTTAGGGGATACAGTACATGTATCCCCTAAAGGATGATGCAATGATGTCTTAAACATCCACCCTTAAAATATGGATGTTTGCAGATTCCTTTAGTTCAAGTTATTCTTCACTGGTGAGTACAATGTCATTCCTGACTCACAACAAAATGAAGCCGACAATTACGTAAAACGAGATATATGTCCACCCCACCCCAATAGTTTGTATTCTTGTATAAACATCCAATCCTTTCTTCTTTCGAGTATCAAGACAGAAGCAAGAGAGATAATTAATACCCAGAAGCACATCATTTTAACATGAAATATGAACAGATGTTTCTGAACAACTATTTTATTTTTAGATTACTTACACTTGTAAAACAGTGTATCTTTTTGCATCTGTAAAAAAAAAAGCAGATTCCATCTCCAATTCTATGAGCCAATGCAACTATGTCAAGACACCAACCCCCAAGCAATTTAAGAACAAAGTGAGGAAGGACTCTATAGCCGATGTGAAATCTCAGTACCGTAAACCCTAGTAACATATGCAACATAGTATGCATTCAGGCAACAGCCATTTCTCTGAAACACAATTACACTGGGAAATCTGAAGAATCCCTACTGGCAAACATAAAGTACTGTTCCCTGTGGGCTACCAGCAACCTCTGACATTCCTTTCCTTGGAATTAAACTATGAATACCCAATGAAACAGAGCGACTTAGAGAAGCGTTTGACCCTCCTTGATCCTTTTCACATTCGAATTGGAGGCATTCAAGTAGATTTTTGTTGCCTTGGTAGCTGTCTGTTTCCTCAGAGGGAAATACTCTACCTAACCCAAACAAGAAATGCAGCATTCCTTCTCTGCCTATTCCCAGTACTGAGAAAAACTGTTCCACAAACTATTCATTTTTCTGATAGAGAAGAAATCTTTTAATTGCATGGTAAGCATGTCAGGAATGGGGGATGATCCTCTCAAAATCAGATGCAGAACTCTGGGTGGAATGAGATTTCTTTTCATGAATGAGTAAAATGCATAAGAGATACAATACCTCTATTGGTAGTTTCGTATTGTGAGATCATGATAACATTGTAGGCATTTCACTACACATGGGATTAAAGCTGAGAAAGCTACACTATGGTCTTTCAAAGTGGTAGCAAATACTTCTCTACTGAGCTTACTAGAGCCTGGAAATATACTACATTGAGGGAATAAGACTATTTCTTTAAAAAAACAAAACAAAATATGAATCTCATTAATCAGCTCCACTCTAATATGACTCAGAAATTACAAGGCCTTAAAGGTGATTATAGTCATAGTCAAACTGAGTCAAGGTTCACTAACACTGAAGAAAAACAGCAGCTGTTATTTTCCCGAACATGAGATTTATGTAAGGGAATAGCACCAATTACTGTAACTTCATTGTGGTTGATCAAATAAACACTATACTGAAATAAAATTTTTTAGGAGACAATAAATTGTTAAAATAGTAAACAATTACAAATATAGAGGCACATGACATGGAAAAAATGTTTTGTGAATGAAACAGTTTTGGCTTAGACATTTGGCCAGTTCATTTGTTCAACACTATTTGGCTTTGGGCTTCAGCTAAGACGAATTCTGGTATAATGAGTAAAATAAGGCCTTGTCCAACTTTCCACCTAATCTTCCTCAACGTAGTCTGTGCACCAGCCCACCCTCTAATTTCGCTAGCTCCTTCTTTTTCCGTAGCCACCAACATGCTTTAATTAAAATGTGGCTTACCTAACAGGCTTATTTGCTTCTTTCTCCTTTTTCTTTCTTTCTCCTTAACTACCAATATAGGCCGCTCCTGAGCTTGCTTTTTCTGCCCTCTTATTTCTGGGCATCCAAACTGGTGTCCCATGGCTCAAATGTTTTGCAAAGCCTAAATTAAAAAGCTGTTTGAAACCTGACCTTTATTTGCCCTAAGAAAAACCTAATGCTTAAGGAGCAGCTGAGAGTCTCAATCCCAATGTCACAAGCTTTTTGGGAAAGCAGTGAAGAACAAGGCTTCGCTAAGGGCCCTGCTGTGCAGCTCCCAAGTAGAACAGAGTAGCAAGGCAGTTTGTGAAGCCATCTTTCAGTGGTTCCTTCTTTCAGCAACCATAAGGGGCTAGGGATGCCCCCACCCTTGTTCTTTCACTGATTCTCTCCTGTCCAAATACACCATCTCCACCTGTGGTCTGCCAAAAAGGAAACCTCCACTTGCCTCACTCTCTCCTGCCCCAAAGTCTCTTCAATGCTTGCCTGGCCTTTTCCCCCTTCCACATATCAACTACCACTCCTATTCTCCACTCGTCCACCTTGAAAAGAAACAATCAAACAATTTCTTTGGGCAAACACTCCCCCCTTTTTTTTCTGAATATGCTGTATGTTGAGTGTACTTCAGGCTACTGGCAGATTGATTTTGATATGCATTTCGCACTGTGTGTGCGCCTACTTACTCTCTTCTAATCCATTTCTCTCAAAATAATATAAATACAAACCTTAATTCCCTTCTTGTAAATTATCTTTGGGGTAATCATTCTAAAGAACAGGAGAATAATTAGGAGGCAAACAAAAGCTAAGGTGTGAAACTGACTATTCTTGTCATTTTCAAGACAGAAAGCAAAATGTGGTGATGTGCTCTCTCACTTAACAACTGCTTCACTTAGTGCCTGGGTTGCCAGTTCCAACTGTAGTTGCTAAATGAGGCAACCTATCTTTATCTCCAATAACCAGCTAAGAGCAGGTAAATAACACTGTAAAGAAATGGTCAAATTCTTCTTTGAACCTGCATGTGTTTTAACCTGTTTTATTTTCTTCCAAAAGGTCCAAATTACAAGAAACAGGATCAAGAATATGCAGATGCAATTACTAAGTATTACTAATATTTTGCTCTTTTAATCACTACCCTGAAAGCTCAGATGTGAGCTCTGTTCAGTACTCCATTACATTCACTTGTGATTTTTCTATTACCATCACACTAGAAACCTTTTCACTCATTTCATTTCCCTCAATTCTATGGAAACCCAGGAATTGCTTGGAATCAGAAACTATGCCTTACTAGAGCAACTTCATCCAGCCCATTTTTTTCTTCTTCCCTAGGCTACAGAAACTGTCTTAGGTAACTGGTGGAACTTTCTACCAGTGGCCAGGAAAATCTCCAAGTGGTTTCTGGAACCCTTCTGAATCCATTTGCAGTAGACTATTCTAAAGGGTTGGCTTCCATGAAGTCCTGATCTTTTCATCTGTAATTTGGTAAGGAAGTGATATGACCACAATAAAACACGGATGTCAGTGTCCTTCAGTGCCTGTGTCAGTGTCACAGTGACACACAGATAACATCTCATCTGCTCTGATCAGCTCCATTGTGCCTTGCCATGTGTTCCAGGGATGTAATTGCTTGCAATAAAGCCCATGATCCCCATGAAGGCTATGAATTCAGAAGAGCCTTTCTCAGAACATGGAAGTTGAAGTTAACCAATATTAAAAGCTTCAGGAACTCTAAACTAGTGCAAAGAACTTCCATATTATCAGAAATACTAATGAAAAATATGAAATTTGATAATATACAACTGAGTATGTCATGACATTCTACTCAAATTTAGAGACAATAGAATGCACTGCATTGGAAACATTACTATCTCCTGGGAATTCTGTAACATTTTTCAAATGTAATATATTGAACTACATATCTGAGAAACAATATATATATATATATATATATATATATATTTGTTTTCTTTCCTTTTCGTAGGCTTTATGTGTATTTCTCTTTAGTCAGGTTATATATATTATTCGTAATCTATATTAGTATTTATGTGCACAATAAGTTTATGGTGTAACATGACATTTCTATGCAAAGAAAATATATTGATTATCACAGACATAACCTAATGGAATTAGCAACTCTGTGAATGCAGTTAATACTTCTTTTCTAAAAACCTTCCGGCAGTTAGTAGTTCTAACAAGTATAGCATTTTAAGATTGACTTGCTATATACTTCCTTAAAATACCAAATACTTACGGAGATATTGTTATTTTAGTGTCAGTATCCTGTTCAATTTTTTTCAAATTCCGTCCCTCTTTACCAATGAGTCGGCCAACAAAATTATTATGTGCCAGTATTTTCAAGGGAATGTCGTCTGTGCTGTAAACATTCCAGACAGGCATATAAATGAAAGTCACATAATTTATCAACCATAAATTAAGAAGCAGTGTCATTTTTCCATGATCAAGTTCATATAGTTTATTATATAATCAAGAAATTCTCAAACTATCCTGGAAAATTAAATTTCTTCAAGAGTAAAGGTTGAAGCTTTAGGCCCATCATTTTCAAAGTGCTTTAAGTATATTTACCTTTATACTATCTATATATGATCATTAAGAACACAACTGCTGATTTCTTACCTAGGAATATGTTTGAAATAAGGCTTAGTTTTAAAGATACCACGTGTTTGCTGGAAATGTACTACAGTTTTTCTAATATAGTTAGACTGGGATTTTTCATACTTTGACTCCAAAGCAAATTTATTCTTAGTTTAATCAGATTTCTTGTGTTTCTCTGGGGAGAAGCTTTCTCAGTTGTTCTTCATATTATTTCCTATCTCTAATAATAACTTCTGATTTCTTTTATATTCAGTAATTATAATCTGTCTAGGACACCATCTTATCACAGTTTAGGGAAGAACAGAATTCATTTAATACTATCCCACAATAACTAGATGAGCTGTTTGATTATGACTTATCTCCTTTACTACTGTATTAAGAAGAAGTTAGAAATGAAAGCATCAAACTGTGGTTATTTTAGAGCTGAAAGATTGGTGAAAGTAAAGTTATTTCCTAGGCCAATGTGACTTTAAATCTTCAATGAAATAGCCCATTGAACTAGACCAATGATGGCGAACCTATGGCACACATGCCAGAGGTGGCATGTTGCGCCCTCTCTGTGGGCATGCAAGCCATCGCCTGAGCTCAGTTCTGCCACACATGCATGTGCCTCCCACCAGCCAGCTGGTCTTGGAGTCTCTGCCGTGCATGTGCATGTGGCAGGGTCCATGCATACAGGGGGTGAGGCTAATGGGGGGACCATGCACGCATTTTTGAGGGCATGGTGCATGCGGGGGCATGCATGTGCAGGGGGGTGTTGCATGCGGGGGCACATGCACATATGCAGGAGTGCAGCACATGCGTGGGATACACACGCATGCAGGGAGGCAGGGCGCATGCACAGGGCAGCACACACATTGTATTTGGGGAGATCCCGTAAACACGTGCTTTGGGCACTCAGTCTGGAAAAGGTTAGCCATCACTGAACTAGACCATTTAAAATTGCTTTTTTTAAAAAAAATTGCAGTAACTTCAACTATTATTAATACTTCTATCATGTTTCAATTGTTACTATTCAATTTATACAACAGTTAAAATTATTTTTGGATACGATTTGTGATTGCTAAAAATATTGAGAATCATTTTATATCAGTGGTGGGTTCGGGCGAACTGGTAGTGCCGGCGGAGGCTCCGCCCAGATGCCATCAAAAACAATCTGCAATGCACAGAAGCGCTCCAGGTTTTGAAACCCACTACTGGCTTATATGTATTTCACTTGCTAATTTGAAATGTTAAGAAATTTATTTGAAATTCTGGCTTCATTTTCCCACATCAGTATTTACATCTATCTCTATAGATGTATTTTAACTGGGCAAAATATGCTTAAGAAATAGCTAACTTGCAACAGTTCATTTAGGCACTGAAAAAGGCACTGACTTATGACCCTTGTTCACACTTAACAATTGTTGCAGCATCTACATGATCAAAATTCAGGCGGTTGGCAACTGACTCACATTTATGATAGTTGCAGTGTCCCAGGGTCATGTGATCCCCTTTTGTGACTTTCTGACCAGTAAAGTCAATGGGGAAGCCAGATTCATTTAACAACCATGTGATTAACATAACAACTGAAGTGATTCACTTAACAACTGTGGCAAGGAAAGTTGCAAAATGGAACAAACTCACTTAACAAATTTCTCACTTAGCAACATAAATCTTGGGCTCAATGGTGGTCATAACTCGAGGGTTACCTATATTTGAGACAGACATGCAGGTAAGGCAGACTAAAATACCTTTACTAAAACACCTTTACTCACAATTTAATGTCTTGAGCTTCCTTTTGCATTATTTCCATGATAATTTTACAAGCAGTTGAGCATCCTTCTGGAGTAGAATGGATTGTAATTGGTTTTTCAGCAGCTCCTGCATTTTCTTTACGATGAATATCAATCCTAAAAAGAGGACAGGAAATGTAAAAATTTATGATTTTCAAAATCGAAGTCTATTGACAAAATCGGAGTCTACTGAAAATAAACCAATAGAACCAAATTTAAATGTCGTAAGTCACTGTCAGATTAATGCATTTTCATTAATAATCATGATACATTCCATTCAATCCATTGGTCTTGTTGTCTAACCTCATTTAGCTTGCATCTGCCATAAGATGAATGTGCATACAGAAGATGTTTCCTTTGAGGAATTAAACCAAGTCCTCAAGAGAGTAATTTATACATATTTTTATCCAATCAAATTTTAGACAAAGTCCCTTTGAAATTGAGCTTAGTCCCATGGAAATGATTTGCCAGTATTTTATTTTGGGATCTTTTTTTCTAGAAGCCCTGTAACTTTCAAATGACCTTTTATACTTACCCTTTTAAAGATCAGCCACAATAACTCACATTCACCCATTGTTATAAGATCTGCTTACCAGAACAAAAGTTTTGAAGTGGTTTGATCAGTCATTTAACATATACAGAAATATCAATGACTTGCTACATTTTCCCTACTTTGGGACTTGCAAAATTTCAAATTCTTCTCTCTCGTTGTAGTGCCAACTTAGAAAATCAACTGCTCAACTACTTGCCATCCATCTCAATACTTGTAATACTGTACCTCTAGAACTACTACATTAATTCAGTGCCGTTTTCAGAACCTACAAGTTGGTTTCAGTGAAGAATAGGACATTATGCCTGACTTTCAAACAATCCTAAAATTCACTGAAAAAATGGATGTCAAAATAAGCAATAAAGTACAAAAACCTGCAATCAGTGAATGCAACTAAAAAAAACAGACTGCGATTTTATTTGCTTCAACAAAAACAGTACAGTAGAGGAAAAGTACAATGAAATGCAAAGTCTTCATTGGGCATTCTTCAATGCAAAAATACTACCTCTCCATAATGGCCTTAGTCAGATTCCATTCTGCCAGATTATAGTTTTGATAATTGGAAACATCTTACAGACATCCATGCTTCTCTCTTTCATACAAATTCATCTCTCCCATTTTCAGTTCACAAATTGACTATGCTTTCAGTATTCTACCTGAACTTGGTTTCAACTTACAGAAGTCTTACAGAATTACTTTTTTTAATCGTTCTTAAAAGAAGTGAAAATGTATATTAAAATATCGTACTGAATGCACTTTTTAAAAAAAAACTTAAAAATCCTACCTCAGTGAAGTTTATTAAAATACACATTCAAGCTTTAAAAATAATTAACAAGGATCTACCAAACAATTAAGTTAAATATTATTAAATTTAAATAATAGAACTGGGCAAAAATGTCAGACATGGCCAAATTAGTAATAACACAGTCTAAACATGATGTGCTGATCGAAGAATGAACTGTGAATGACCCTAATGTTTTTTTCCTTTCCATCCTCTTGAGTACCTGCCTCCTTAATATCTAGATTGGGGAAATATAGATGCAAGACAATATAATGAAATGTGACACATTCTAATGTTTACCTGGATTCTTAAATGTAAGAACTCTTAATAGCACTACAACCCAGTTAGCACCATCTCTGTTGAACTAAATACTCATGAAGCAAGATCATATAAAGTCAGTCTTCTTTTCCAATTAAAAATTATAAGTATTTCAATAACATAAATGTAACAATGTAACACTTTAAATTATAATAAAATTAATAATAATTGATAATAAAGACTTCATATAGTGACTTACTTTGACTGCGTCTGCTTTGTGATATTTCTGATTGTGGCCCCTTCTTTTCCAATAATAGCTCCTACAAACTGGGTTGGAACAAGTATCCGTAATGGAACATCAGACTGTGGTTTCTGTCTTGTTGCTGCGCCCGGTGAACCTTGTCTAGGGGGACCTCTCTGCCCAAATCCACGTCTACCTTGAGGATGCTGCTGAGGAGGTGGTTGGGCTGCCATTTCATCAGGAATATATGCAACTTTTAATGAATAGTTTTCAAGCTGGAATCCGTTCAATTTTTCTATTGCTCTATATAAGTTTACAAAGAAAGTAAGTTGTTGCAGATGAAGCAGCAGAACAGAAAACCAATCAATTATGGTATAGCATTTCATTGGGAATGGTAAGCTGTCCCATCTGGCTCATGAGATCATAAATAACCCTTTTCTTTATGCCTAAACATTATCTCCTTCCTTCCTCATGGGGAAATGCCTTAAGATGACTCAAAAGCACTATTAATAGCAACATGAAGCAGAATTTCTCTGAAGTTCTGCCTTTTCCCTATTTCCCTAGAGCAAAAAGTACTTTGGGAGCCAGCATCTGAAAGTGTTCCCAGTTCTAAAGTGTTTTGAGTGCTGGCTTTTGAAGAGCCATATTTAACTTCTTTCTCTTTACAGATAGGCATAAGTTGGCAAAAAAGAGCCCCTTAGAAAGGAAAATGTGATTTGCTGGAATCTTAAAACTGCTTATCACTGGCAGATAGGCAACATGATAAGAGGAAAGGACTCTGGTCCTAATTTATGACATTACAAGTAGAAGGAAAAGAACTGGATTTTGGCTGGATCCTATTCTCCAGCATGCTCAAGAAATTCAAATTCCAAATATAGGTAGTCTTCAACTAATCACTGTCCTGTTTAATGATCATTTGAATTTACAACAGAGCTTAAAAAGCAGTTTTATAATTGGTACTTGAACTTACAATGGTTGAAACACCCCCCCCTGGTCGTGATTCAGGCACTTGGCAATTGGTGCAAATTTGACATTTGAAGTGTCCCACAGTTATGTGATCACACCATTTGTGATTTTCACAGCTGGCTTCCAATAAGGAAAATCAATGGGGAAGCCAGCAGTTAGTCACAAGTTGTGGTTGTGACCATGCTTAGCAACCACAGGTGATTTACTTAACAACCATAGAACTCATGTTGTAAGTTGGACAAGGTCATGTTTCACTTAGAAACAACAACACAGCAGAGTTGCCAATCTCAGCTATGATCATTAAAGGATCTATAAGTTAAATTTGAATCGTCATTCTTTCATCTTACTGTCTGCTTTTTCCTTCATATTATATGACTTTTTAGACAACAAATCAGAAGGTAAGGTTTTATTGCATACTCTTAAGAAAAGCCTTTGCCTTTTAATCAAAACTACAAATCCTGCGTGAACAGGAAGGGGAAGAGTTGTTTTTTTTCTTCTTCTCTGCCTTCCCCAAATCACCAAGTTTTAGAAAAACCTATATACAATTAAAATATCTAATACATCTCTCAACTCAAACATGAGTTTCTAACAGAGTTCCCCATGTATATTATCATGGGTCTATTTAAACCATTTATCTTCCTAACAGAACAATTCCTGCTTCCTCCATATCTCATTTTTGAATCAGTGTAGCAATATATTATAACATTAACCCTTCACTCACATATCAAACTCATTTCAAAGGAGAGGACTAATACAAGTAGTGATAGCATCCTTATTTTGTTTCTTTTGAAGGGCAAGCAGCCAATCTGTCTTGGCAAACTTGCTCTTTCCCCCTTTTTCTACTTACATGCAGCTGTTCATGAACTGCACCTGGCAGCCTGGAGGCAAGAGTTACTCACTTAGGCAAATATCTAATTACAATAATGTATAAATTAATTGAAATTATCAATTAGTTAGTACTGACCAATTTGTAACATTTTTTTAAAAAGTCATGGTATATTTCAAACCTAACTAACCAAACAACTAGTTCACCTTTGTTACATAAAAGTGAATTTAGAATGGTTGTGATTTTAAAATCATAGTATACTACAAAAAAAAATTCATTAAATATCTATGATTCAGTATTAAAACTTTAGTCCACATGCACATGCATGCACCCACATATTTCCCACAGACAAGAGATAGAACCCAATGTGAACAGCACCTTACTTCAAAATTGTACCCTTGTGAGACATGTGTACTGAAAGCAATGTCTAGTAAAGAATCTTTAACAGGTAAACTGTTCCTTGTATGGAAAGGATCTAATACTACATTGTTCATCCAATTCTTACAACACACAATTCTAGGAGCCTTATTTCTATAACGGCTCTTTGAAAATTGCCAATAGGACTAAATTATTTGAGCAAAAGCAAGTGTAAATATGTAGAGAACCATACAGAAAAAAATAAACTAAATTATTAATTTCAGTTAGCCACTAGGGGGCACAGAATTCCATTTTAATATTTCATTTTGGAGTGGAGTGACACCAGATTTACCAAACAAATGTAGACATCAAAATATTACAAGTCATAAAACTGGTGAAAAAAATATACCCAAATACTACGCGTAGCTATCTCTACACATATACGTTTGTAATTTTATAGTATTCTTTGATGCAGCATTGGGTCAATATCACATTTTTTGAAAAGTTAATGTATCCTTTCTACAACTGTTTATCACCCATACTTTTATATTATAAAGGCTATACAGGTAGTCCTTGATTTATAACCAGTGACTTAGTGTTTAAGAAAAAGGGGACTTGTCTACAGATATTCTCAATCATCCAAGTCATAGTTGTCCCAAAAGTGTTTTTTCCAAAGGGTATCTGGACATTCTTGTGTTATCTTTAAAAACGTTCACATCTCATTGAAGAAGCTTTTTCAATTCAGAAATTGGGGGAGTTATGACCTGAATCTAAAGTTCCAACAGTTCTGTCCCCCACCCAGTGTTCACATGACCACAATCTGGATACTCAGCAACATGGCTGCATTTATGCCTATTTGCAGCATTCCAGAATCATGTGATCGTGTTTTATTTCAGCTATAACTTCAGGCAGGGGTCATAAGTCCCTTTGTTCAGTACCATCATAATTTCAAATGGTCACTAAACAAATGCTTGTAAGCTGAGGACTACCTGTACACCATAAAATGTGACTCCTCACTATGATTTTAAGAAAGTATTCTTGACTTTGTAAAAATAGGGCAGGACATGTAGACAGATGTAATTTTTACTGGTGCCTACTGCTGTAGAATTTGCTTCTACTAGAGTGATAGCCAATTCTGAACTGTGGTCATTTTATACAAGACTGTACACAACCAGCTCTACCCAGCAGAAGTCCAGTTTCCTCTGTTAATGTGTGCATCTGTGGCAGAGAAGATTTTAAAATATAAATTCTACCAAATTTTCAATAAACCAGACCTAAAATAGCAAATCCACTGATAAAGGATGAATGGGTTTTCTAACTTCTATACCTTTCTAATATATTGGCATTTCTACATTTACTTTTATGGTTTGATTTTACAATGTTTTTAAAGTTACATGCCACATTGAGTTTGGTTTTGGGTTTTTTTTGGTCAAGTGGCCTTATAATTCTAATAAAGTGTCAGTGAATATTCAGATGAAGATTTCATTGCTTCCAATTCTGCAGTCTTGAAATATTTAACTAGAGACTTGCATATAAAAATAATAATAATAAAGTAAAGTAAACCCAGGGTTAAAAAGGTGTCAAACTGGAATGTATGGGGGTGTATATTATATAAACCAGAAGAAATACCTCTGTGCCTAAAAAATGCCAACAGCTTTCAATCACTTTAAGACATTATAATCTTTCCAAAGTTTCATTTTCTTACTATTAAAAAGAAATTCTATGAATGTTCACCTAGACTCAAATCCTTCTATAGTTATCTTCAATCTGGGCATTTTTCACTTGCACGGATCAACTCTTCTCAAGAGGACATCTGGTCAGAGACATCAGGAAACTAAATACACCAATTAACAAGGGAACTGTTTGATGTTAAATCACCTTACTCCCTCATAAAAGTTTACAAGGGCAATTCCCCAGTGTAACTAAATATGTTCCTATTCAAAAGGTAATCCAACTAAGCTCAACATGCAGGCTTACATATAAGCAGTTGGATGAAGAGTGTAACCTTAGTATTTTGATGTTTAAAAGTAAATATAAAATAAATGACAAATAAGAGACTGTATCAAATGTTAATACATAAGAGAAAAACAATTTTAAAGGTCAGAAAAAAACTAAAAATAAATAAATGAGGACTTACTGCCTGGCCTGGTCCTTATTGGCGTATGTTACATTTACTACTGCAGTCTCTGTGTCAGTATTCACTAGAACAAAAAAAGATGTATCGAAAAAAATAAATTAAAACTTCTTTTTATCATTTCCTTTAAACAAACTATTTGAATATTACACCACCTTGCTCACAGGTTTCCACAGTTCCATACTGTGCCAGCAAACCGTCCAGGACCTATTAAAAAAACAAAACAAAGTACAATGTAAACTTTACACGTTATACAAATTTATATAATGAACTTCCTGCATAATATATACAAATCCCAATTATGTTTATGTTTTACAAAGTTAGTAACATATTTTTTTCCAGATTTTTCTTAAATTTGATCATCTTTATTGCTGAATGTGAAACTTCCACATTCAATTTGATCCCCAGGAATTAAATTAAATTAATTCGTTAATAGCAAATTGTATGGAACTACTTCAAAAAAGTAGGCTTAAGACTTAAATCAGCACATATTGAAACAGGTTTTCTAATTACTATAATTTTCTTCAAAATTAAAATAAAACCATATTTATTTAGAAAAATGGTTGACTCAAATAAATGCAGTATTAAAAATATTTCAACTGCTCTTATTATAGCAAAGAACTTAATAGATAATAGATTTTTAGAAATAAATATAGAGGTATTTACAATTAATTACAATATTAACAGTTATATTTATTGTAAAATAAGCTGAATTGAGTTAGTGTGCTTAAAGGGGGAGGGGGAAAAGCAACAAGCAAGTGATTATTTTTTTAACTTCATTAGACTGAAAAATTCCTTGCATATTCAGGAATGTAACCTTTCAAGTCAGGCAGCACTTAATCAGTAGTTAGAATAATTTTTAAAATTTACAATAGCTAGCAATTTTACCATGACTTAAATACTTCACAGAGAGAGACAGAGAAAGAACAGTCCTCTGAGGCAAGATTAGGTTCTCTTCATTCATTTTAAATAAGAATTCACCTTACTCCTTTTTACAAACGCCACCTAGTCTGATCAAACAACAAATGAGGTTTATGTAGAAGGAAACTTCTTGAAGGGACTTTGTTGGATATATTTATCCTCACAATCTTTTTTTAACCCATCAAAAGCATCTTTCTGATGCCTGGGAGCCAATTACTAAAACGTGAAATATAATAAACATACTTTTAAACTAAATTGTTTTTTTGGGCAGATGAAAAATCATATGCTTACTGGTTAATATTGTAACCCACTCCTTCAAAGGAAGAAAACAGTTGGTTAGATGAACACTTAATTCATGTCTAGAATAAACACCCAAAGTCAATGGGATACAAATTTAAACCTGTATGCAGCCATTATTTTTGAATCAGTATTAACACAACAAAATACACCTTCCTTTTAATATTAATTTTGTCTAATATTGGCTTAGTCCATCATGATTCTTATATTATGTCTTGGCGGGGGGGAGAAACTGAATGCAATGAGTTTATAAATAGACATAACTTTTCATCAGTAAATTTGAAAACAAAATCAATATAAGCAGCATTCTATAAAGGCAAAATCACTAAAGATTGAATGCAAAAACAAAATAAAGAAAAATAACCAAGGAATTTATACTCTAAATCTCAAACCATAACATTAGTAGTTCTCGCCTCACACTCTAAAAATAAATTCACATCTTACATCAATATACATGAATGAGTCCAAAAAAAGCATGAGAAACTTTTGCACTGGTATTCTACCTTACTTACTTACTTACTAAGCCTTTCTTACGTTTTTATAACTACTCCCAATTCCTATTTGATTTTATCAAGTACAATACATTTTACTTTTATCCTAAAAAGCCAAATCCTCTAACTTTACTCTAAAAACAAATCCGTTTTGTCTAAACTGTTCATCTGCCTCTCAATCTTCACATGTAGCCTTGTTGAGCAATAACAGAATTTCTAGCCAAGCTGGTAGTGAGATACTAATCTTGATGAGCAACTGAACAGAAAAGTTTATTTGTGTGAATATTTACTTTAGCTAGAAAATAATGTATTCCTTTTTTAGCATTTGTCTAATTGGGGTCTTCTCCTCTTGTTATAACAAGCATGTTAAATTACTTGTTTATAAATTAAATGAAACATGCATAAAACATTGGTGTCATTTGTTCATTTATTTTCTTTATGTAGAACTCACATGAAGAACACACAGTGGCAAAGATGCTCAAAAACTGATGAAATCCAAAAGGGCTATTATATTTTCACAGAACTATATGTTTGATTTCAATGCTTAAAATATTAATACAGTATTTGCTTAGGTGGCTCTTCCTTAAAGGTAATTATGGCTTTTGAGTGGGTATAGGGCAGTGATGGTGAACCTTTTAGAGATCGAGTGCTCAAACTGCAACCCCAAACCCACTTATTTATCACAAAGTGCCAACACGGCAATTTAATCTGAATAATGAGGTTTTACTACCTAAAATAATGATAAACAATTTTTCCCAGACATTTTAAATATTTTATTTTTACTGACACAACTAAAATATCATTGTACTATTATTACACTGTACAGTCTTACTAAAACTGAGAGAAAGTGGGGAATAATAGAGATATTATGTTTGATAAATAAAAATATTCAAAGACTTAAAAAACTCTTCAGTATTCAAAACCTGTCAAACAAATTATTTAGGCAAATGAATATAAATTTTACAAATTATATCTGGGAGAACTACAGCATCAGAAAGAGGCACAAATAGAAATGTATCCTCATATTCTTGGGATAATTGCTATCCTGATTTTATAAAATCTCCAACCAGCATAATGTTTTGAAAATATTAGAGACAGAAAATTAATTATACAAATTCCATCACAATGTTCATGTTTCTAAAGATCAGGAAAGCAGTAATGAGCGTTTAAAGTGGGAATAAATCAAAGGTTACTATTCACCTAGGGTTGCACTGTAAAACTCTGAAAACATTTAACTCCAATTGCCCTCCATTTAACTTCAACTGTCAAATTGAGGGCAATTGAAATAAATACTTGAAATACTCTCCGTTATTCAAAGCTGTAAATTAACATCTCAAGAACAAAAAACAGTCCTTGTCAAATATTGCGTATGCTAAGAGTTAGAAGAGAAAAAAGTGAGAACAAGAGGCAAGTTGGTAGGCAAAAGACATACCATCAATTTATCCTCTTATAAACAGGTTGAAAATTTAAAATTTAAAGATGAATGCCTACCTCCCACTGCAAGTGTGGTGGAATATTTCGGATTTGAAGTTTTCGACTCCTAGTGATAGAAGTTGGGGGGGGGGAGAGAGAGAGAAAGATTGTTATTTAAGACAATTTATAAAGTTAAAGCACTACTGAATATGTCTAACAATATATCGGGAAAATATTATGACATAAAATGATATGTCTTATCTCAAGCTTCTTTAAAAGTATCCAATAGAATGGACTGTGTTCCAAAATACTGCTTTTCATAATGTTTTATTGACATACTAATATTGATTTCTAGAAATGCATTTCTTTCAATATAACTTCCCCAAGCATATTATTTAGATATGCAATTAACTACTTCTTACACTTATAAAAGTTTATTTATTTATTTAGAGGATTTGTATGGCTGCCCATTTACTTTCAGTCACTCTGAGCACTTACAAACAATAATTTGTAAGTTATTGCCACGCTTCAAGTTTCCAAAATGGCATCAATTTAATTAGCACTTAAATTACTAAACTCTTACAATACTTGTCTTTTTTTTTTTTTACTCATTTCATAGCTGCTTTTGCAGCTATGGGGGGGAGGAATCAAGCGTGGTATTGTCTGAAAATTTGATGAGTTCCCCATCCATCCCCTTGTCCAAGTTCCTAACAAGCACACACACACACACATACATGCGTTCACAACTATTTATCACTACTCACCACTACTTCCGTCTTCCTCACTGCTATTACTACTCTACAACTCCAGGTATTACCGCTTGCGAGTTCTGCTACTTCAGTGAGTATTCTAGAGAAAATTATCTCCTTCTAGCTGCTTCAGACAGCTTTACCTAAATGTACCTTCTTCTCACTGTCTCCTACGCACTACAACCAGCTGTCTCTGAGCACAGCTTTTATAGTCAAGGTTGCAGTGCTGGCCAGGGAGAGAATTTAAAGGGACAAGACAACAGCAGCACAGGTGCTTGCCATTTTCTGGGCAGCCTGCTCTTTTACATAAATGTAAGAAAAAGCATCAACATTTCAAGACAAAAATAAAGAAATTCTAGCTAGCTACATTAATTGCATGGAACTTAAGTTTTTACAACAGCTGATTTTACATTAAGAGTTCTGAAAACAACCAACCAAACAACCAACCCAGTATTTATTTGAGTTTCTATTCTATCTATCTATTCTATCTATTCTGAAATATAAAAAACAATTAAATTAAATTTATGTACATCTTTCTAGATGCTATATAACATCACAATAATGTTGATGAAAAAGGAAAAATACATTATAGAAGTGAAGAAAAGAAGAGAATAACTCAAAATTCTTATGAAAAGCTTTAATATCAAGAGAAGATATCTGAAGAGAAGATTTTTTTTTTTTTTTAGAAAAATCAGACTTACCTGAAATACCTAAACAATATAAGAGGATATTAGAAGAAAAAATAACAATGATGTAGCTAACAGAAGCGATTAAAAAACAAAAAAATGGGAAAACACTAGGTCCGGATGGACTACCAGCGGAACTATATAAGACATTTCAAGAGGTGTTAAGCAATGTAATGCTGGAATTATTTAATGAACTTTTAGTTAAAGGAAAAATGCCAGACTCATGGATAGAGGCCTAAAGAAGATTCAGACTTGCAATTAATAAAAAGGTACAGACCGATTTAATTATTGAATGTGGATTACAAGATTTCCGCTTCAATAATGGCGAACAGACTAAAAAAACCCTACTAAATGAATTTATTCATATGGATCAAAATGGGTTTCTACCTACAAGAAACCCAGAGACAATATGAGGATAATTTTGAATACTTTGGAGTATTATGAGACACACTCAGAAAAACAAATGGCGATGATATTTCTAGATGCACAGAAAGCTTCTGACAATGTGAATTGGCAGTTTATGATAAAGCAACTACAAATAATGGACTTTGGGGAAAGATTTATGAACACCATAAAAACAATATGTAACAATCAGCTAAGATAATGATGAATGGAGAGATGACAGAAAAAGTTAATATAATAAAAGGAACAAGACAAGGATGTCCATTATCCTCATTGCTATTTGTATTGACTTTAGAAGTGCTAAATAGAAATATAAAATGGAATGGAGAAATAAAAGGGATGAAAATTAAAAAAGAGGAATACAAAATTACAAGCTTTTGCAGATGATTTAGTATTTATTCTGGAGGAACCCCAAAAGACAGGACCAATATTATTAGAATAGACGAATATGGAGAGGTGGCAGGTTTAAAAATAAATAAAGAAAAAACAAAAATATTGGTGAAAAATACTACTGAAAAATAAAAAAGAATTAAGGGAGAAATTAGATATACAAATTGTGAAAAAAGTGAAATACTTATAACTTCAAGATGTGTAATGATAAAAGACGATAATTATTATAATCTAAAAAGACAAATTGAGAAAGACTTGGAAAAATGGAAAACTTTGCAGTTATCACTTATGGGAAAGATTGCAACAATCAAGATGAATATACTACCGAGACTATTGTTTTTATTCCAGACAATTCCAATAAAAATTGAAAAGACTTATTTTCAACACCTTAACAAAATAATGAGGAAGTTCATATGGCAGGGGGAAAAGGCGGGAATTAATATAAAGATGCTACAAGACGCAAGAATAAGGGGAGGATTTGGACTGCCGAATTGGGAATTGTATTACCAGGCAGCATCATTGACTTGGATGAAAGAATGGATCAAATTAAGAAATATAAGATTACTAACACTGGAAGGACATGATTTACAATTGGGATGGCATGCATTTTTATGGTATGGCAGAAGTAAGATGCATACGTATTTTCATAGACATTATATAAGAAATGCATTGTTATTAGTGTGGGAGAAGGTTAGAGATAAATATTACTTGAAATTCCAATATGGTTATCAACAATGGAAGCATTGATACACACAAATATGGTTAATTTTGAAAATATTTTTAGATATAAAGACTTACTTACAGATAAGGGGGAACTGAAAGGAAAACAATGGAAGATAACTGGAAAAACAATGGATTGTGATGGACTGGTATACGCATATGCAAATACAAGCAAGTTATGAAAAAGATGCAAAATTATATTGTTTTTATTTAGAAATGACAGATTTCGATAGGATACGGGAACAGAGGATAAAATAATTTTAAAAATTTATAATTTTCTGCTTAGTATCGAATTAGAAGAGCAAGTAAAAGAAACAATGATTGCTTGGGCAAAAAATTGTGGATACTTAATTAAGCTTGATAGATGGCAACAGTTATGGGAAAGGAACTATAAATTAACTATGTCCACTGCATATAAAGAGAATCAATATAAAATGTTTTACAGATGGCATATGCCTACTGAAAAATTGGCAAAAATACTTAAAGATAAATCAGCTAAATGTTGGAAATGCCATCAAATACCAGGATCTTATTATCATATGTGGTGGGCATGTTCAGAAGCAGAATTAAGACATGGTTAGAAGAAATTATCTAACAATATATTGATTTAAAACCTGAGCTGTTCCTATTGGGTATCCTACCAGAGAAAATTAGTAAAGAAAATATATATTTGATTATACATATAATAATGGCAGCGAGGATAGTATTTGCGCAAAGATGGAAAGCAGAGAAAATCCCTTTGGAAGGAAAAGTGATTTAAAAATTTTTAGATTGTGCAGAAATGAATAGATTAACTTTGATGATTAAAGAACGAGAGGATACAGAATATTTAAAGATATGGGGAAAATTTTATGATTGATTAGGAAAAGAGATATAAAGATTTTGATGAATAAATAGGAGAATGTTATATTAAATGTATTGTTTTTTGGGGGAAATATTGTAATAGGGGAATGGGAATTATTAAGGAAGAAATGAAGATAGAAGGAATAACAAAAAGAAGTCACTGAAGAAACATTGAGATGATACATGGAAGGATTGATGTATTATGTTTTTGTTTAAAAAATAAAAAAATACAATAAAAAGAATGGACTGTATTCTAAAATACTGCTTTTCATAATGTTTTATTGACATACTAATATTGATTTCTAGAAATGCATTTCTTTCAAAATAACTTCCCCATGCATATTGTTTAGATATGCAATTAACTGCTTCTTACACTTATAAAAGTTTGTTTATTTATTTATTTACTTAGTGGGTTTGTATGGCTGCCCATTTACTTTCAGTGATTCTGAGCACTTACAAACAATAATTTGTAAGTTATTGCCACGCTTCAAGTTCCCAAAATGGCATCAATTTAATTAGCACTTAAATTACTAAACTCTTACAATACTTGTCATTTTTTTTTTACTCATTTCATAGCTGCTTTTGCCAAAAATGAAATTATCTACAAACTCATGTACCATGTAAACTCTAGGACCTGCCAGAACATGGAATCATGTCCCCTGGGGGGAGGAGGGGGCGGGAGAAATCATGCTTGGTATTGTCTGAAAATTTGATGAGTTCCCCATCCATCCCCTTGTCCAAGTTCCTAACACATATCCACAAACATTCACATCTATTGATCACTACTCACCACTACTTCAGTCTTCCTCACTGCTATTACTACTCTACAACTCCAGGTATTACCGCTTGCGAGTTCTGCTACTTCAGTGAGTATTCTAGAGAAAATTATCTCCTTCTAGCTGCTTCAGACAGCTTTATCTAAATGTACCTTCTTCTCACTGTCTCCTACGCACTACAACCAGCTGTCTCTGAGCACAGCTTTTATAGTCAAGGTTGCAGTGCTGGCCAGAGAGAGAATTTAAAGGGACAAGACAACAGCAGCACAGGTGCTTGCCATTTTCTGGGCAGCCTGCTCTTTTACATAAATGTAAGAAAAAGCATCAACATTTCAAGACAAAACTAAATTAAGAAATTCTAGTTAGCTACATTAATTGCATGGAACTTAAGTTTTTACAATAGCTGATCTTATATTAAGAGTTCTGAAAATAAACAAACAACCAACCCAGTATTTATTTGAGTTTCTGTTGTATCTATTCTGGAATATAAAAAACAATTAAATTAAATTTACGTACATCTTTCTAGATGCTATACAACATCACAATAATGTTGAGTAGAGA